TGCCATATATGACATATATGGTCTAAGATATTCTTCTATGATAAATATATTATAAATACAGACAAATGAGTCGTTAAATACAATATTATTATTCATAGAAAAAAGAAAATGCCACTATGAAGTCAAATAGAAAAATAAAAAGTGAGTTTGAATGAAAAAAACGATAAATATATATTAATAGTTTATGTATTTGTACGACTGATTGTATAAGAGAGTGGTAAGTAATTATTCGTTATATAAGTGTGAATGTAACTAATCAATTAGCTTTCTCTTTTTTTTTGTCTTATTTTTTTTTTTATTGACTTTTGTAGAAGCAGTCAATAGACGTCAATCAAACAAGGTGAATTAATATATGGAAAGAAAATTTCTGAACAATTTGATCAAAATAAAGGTGTGTGTATTTAATCAATAATGTAAAACAATTGAAAATATCATTCTTTTATACTCAAAGTCTTACATTAATCATATTTCTAATAAAAATTATTATATATTATCTTTTTAGCATAATTTATTCTGAAAATATGTTTTTCTCATTTTCATTCTTCAATTTAATTTATTGGTTAGAAAATTTTTCGTGAAAAGAAAGTTTCTTCATAAGAATTCGTTCTCTTTATTTCAACTAATATTTTAATTTGTTTATATTATAATTTTCACGAAGGAAACAACTTACGAATAATAGAAACATAAACAACAAAAGAAAATAGTCTTATGTATTGTGTGAGATTGCGTACTTTAAATAACTGAACAACAGAAAAAATGGAAAGAAAAGAAAAAAAAAGCAGAGAAGTACGATTTGAAAAGATCAATTTGATAGGGAATGAAACATGTACTGAATGCTCATAGTAGCAATAGTGAAAGAAAAATGCATAATATTTTGACAATAATAATGATTTTTGTTATCTTCATTTTGATTATATTAACTCGTATTTCGAATAATTAATGCTGTACATCTATCTATATACGTTTGAGCAAAGATCACTTGATATTATGTAAATGTAATTCTTCGTCGATATAAATAATCATATATACAATAAGTATTTTTACAATTTTCATGTTTTATTAGTTGATATATTAAATTTTATTTTTTATTTGAGGAAAAATAAATCTAAATGGTATTAATCGTCGTTTTTTCATTCACACATTTATTATTGTCTAATTAGTAGTAAATAAACAGAGAAAGATTAGACTGCTTAATTTATTAGGAAAATTCTTATAATCATAATAGTGAAATTATTTTATTCTATGATGATAACAGAAATCCTTGTGATTAATAAAGAAGATCTGTTTAGTTTAGCAACTTTCAAATATAGTACAATTAATTTTCAATGATAAGGAAAATCACTAAAGCTTCATTCTTAACTGTTCTATGTGAAGATACAAGTTCAACAAAAATAATATCATCATTCAAAAAGATATCGTCAATTTTCATTAAAAGTTCGGTAAATTTAACAATACTTTGAAATAACTAAAGCCATCAACACATTAAAACATCCCGGGTCTCCTATTCTCTTTTATCGTTCATGAGTTACAAGGGGAGTCTTCTATTATGTTTCTCAACAAGTCATATTTTCTAATGATCTCGCCAACAAACAATAATTTCAATTCATTTTTGTCTAGTATATCATTAGTAAACGAGTTTATTTTACTTATTTCACATGCTTAGAATTAGAAAGAAACAGATATTATCCTATGAAAAAAATGGAAATTATCGTTGATAACAAGTGTTCTGAGAACAATGCAGTTGACTAGTACTTTAACATCTCGATATCATGTTTCATAACTGTCTTCTTTTCTAGAGAATAAGATCTATCACTGCTAATATTTAACTTTCTCAATAACTAAATAACTTGAAACAAGAAAATTTATTTGTTTTTTTTTTTGTCAAATTTATTTAAATCGGTTGCTTTTGAGATTTGATTAGTATAGATGGAACTCGTTCACAGTGAAATCTATCATTAGCATAATTATTAGTCTCAAAGTAACTTCAATCAATAAAGTTGTCTTACAAAGAAAAAGTTTATAGAAAAACAGTAGTAATATATGCATTCTATGTTTTCTTTTGTCTCTGTTTCCAAAATTACTTTGAAATTTCATTAAGACAAGAAATGCGTTGTCATTCTCATAAGAGGTACTCAACGAAAAAATGTTGGCACCTATACATGAAATTATGTTTTCTTCAATTATGAAGTACTGTTTTGTGATAAAAAAAACGTTTCTGAATTTCTAGAGCAAAGTCAAAGGTACGGAGACCTCTTAAAAATATACAATGTAATTTTACATAATATGTTATTATTTGACAAAGATCTCTTCTTCATGTGTTACGTGCACAAATGAACACTATATCCATTAGATTCTACGTTTATGGCAATTTTTTTTTCTAATAGAGAGCTTAAAGAATTTTTTCAGAATAAGCTCCAAAGGAGTACTAAATGACTTGACGATATGTTTTCAATAAATAAACACATTTTATAATAGACTTTTGTTTCCTATTAGCTGTTTCTCAAGATTTTTCTGACTCGGAATTGATAAGTCGTTATGATGACGGAAGTAAAATATTGTCCATACTGAACTTAGATATCATTATGGGCTTAAATACTAAAAAGGTCAATAAGTTCCAGAAATTACTTTAAAAAAATCCATTTTCTGAAGGAGATCTTCTAATGTATTTTGCTTCATTTATCGAAGGGAAATCTTTTATTATGAAGGGTTTTGTATTATAGGGGATGGGGATCTTCTAATGTATCGAGGGTTTTAGTTAGAAGATAGACGCACAATATTTATTAGTAAAGCAATTAAACGAAAGGCGAGTTAAGTAAACAATACAATATAGATTCATCAATGATTTACGAAAGTCGAATAATCAATAGGAAAATATTTTCTAGTTCGTTCGTTGATAGTTTATGTCGTTTAGAAATCGACTCAATCAGTTGTAGTCTTAGTGTGATGAGCTATTAAAAACGTTCTCTGATTTAAACTAATTTGTTCAACCAGCAGTTTAGTTCAGACCTGGACGTACAGAATCTATTGATATACAAATCAAATCATATTTCGGACAAATTTTGAAAACTTATTTTCTTATATGAAAGCCTATTCATTTGTGAATTCAGAGAAAGATATTTCTTATGTAGAAATAACAGCATAAACTGTTTAAACAAATTCTATGATTAGAGATATGCACGATAGGCATGGCGTTCTACGCATCCTATATTTGAATTAAGAAAATTTTTCTAAATTTTATTCTATGTTACTCTATCGAGTAAGATAGAGTAACCCTGCAGAATTCTATTTAGATTTATTTAGTAGTAGAAAGGATCAAATTAGCTGATGACTTTTCCTTCACTACACTAACGATTAATTTTGGGTGTGGGTGTGGTAGTGGTTGTGGGTGTAAATGTTTGGATAGGTACGCCCGTACCCAAAAGCTTATTTTTATAGGACTTGCATTTCTTGCACGAGAAATCTAAATACATAATTGGTTTCATGATACGAGAAAAAAGATCGGAGTAACGTCGTTTTTTCGATAAAAGCAAAATTTTCATTTAATGCAAAACAGTATTTGACTTGGATCTTTATGAAAAGGCAAGGAAAATTCAAAACATTTATTATCTAAATGATCAGCGCAGAAAGCTCTAAAAGCCCTCAAACAACCTTCTTTTAATTAGAAACATCTTATAGATATCTAATTTTCTCTCATGTTCGACAATATTTTCCTCTCCCCGCTCTGTTCTACCTTGACGTCTTTGCGTCGGTACTATAAGCGAGACTAGATGATAGATTATATGTAAAATTTTGTCTAAGAAAAACGAAACCGAATATTTTTTTTCTATAAAGCTACTTGTTAAAATATACAGAAGCGCGCTGGTTGTCTGCTGCTTGACGATGCAGTTGTGGCTAAGGAAAATAAAAATTATTCAATAATAGTTCTCATAGTAAATGCGAAAAACTAACTGTACATGAGCCATTATGTTCAGAATTTTGACTTCTTGAAAATGACATATAAAAGTCGAGAACACAAAAATCTACGGAAGAAAAATCGACGGCACTTTTATCGTTATTGGCAAAGACTAAAATTCATCAGAATGAATGTAGTATAGTTTTCTCTATCCTATATCATTGTACCGTCAATTTTTACATGTCATTTTACAAAGCTAAATTTCTGAGGAGAAAATCTTTAGTAAAAAATATTTTTCATAGCTAAAATGAAAACATTTGTGAAAGAATGACTATTTTCGTTGATGACAATGAAACGATCACACAAGATACGATCCATCGGTGAGTTTCATACTCCCGAATGTGTACAAATAAAATTCTTTCAAATTTTAGTTGTTGAAAGAATTTTTTTTTCTTTTTTGATGATTTTATATATTATTGAAATTTGATTGAGAAATTGAGCGCTCTCAAATATCTTCTTTTCGATTAATTAATATCGTTTATCTATCGATGTTTTTCACTTCTGTCTTATATTTTTCATTTGTTGTTGTTACATTCTTCAATGAATTTCAATGGGTTAATTCTAATGGTAACTGTACATGTCCAGATGATTTAACAGATGGTCCTAATATTGGACCTGAACCACCTCTTCCACGTGAAAATGGTTCACGAGTACCTTCAGATTGGCAATGGATACCTGTGCCACTTGACGACCTATTAAGTAATGATCCTGACGTACGGCACTTAGCTCAAAGCTTATTGTTAGAAAATACAATGTACTCGCTTTTATATGCTCGAGAAATTCGAGCAAGACGTCGATACTATGCCAAGGAACGAGAACACATTAGAAATAAACAATTGCGATATAACGAATTTATGAAGGAACAATGGAAGAAAGATCGAATGAACTCATTACCATGGAGATGTACAATTTTACGACGATAAATATCTTCTTCAATCGATTTGTTTTCATTCTACATTAACTATAGTTAATATCCATAAATATTTTTCTTTTTTTATTGTAAGGTGAACGTGGTGTGTCACTGAGGGTATCAAACATGTATTGAACCATGCACATCGACATCATTACCGATAGTTTAATTCAAATATGTTGTTAATCATGTGTGCAGGGCATCAACAATATTGGATAAATGTCGGTATTTTTCTGTAAATGATTCGTTTGTCGACGAATAATGATGAAATACATACGGCCAGCGAAGTGGTAAGACGTTTATATCTTGTATTCGAATTTTCACTAGAACAGAATTAGTAAACAGCTTTCTGTTAGATTTTAATGAACTAAAGTTGATAAGTATAGTATTAATTGGTTTCGGTTTGATGATATCACCATCGAGATTAAAGTTTTCTGAGTAACAGCAAAACAACTTCTTGAAGTCTTCTCGTTGCAGAGTTTTTTTTTAATCCTATCATCCATGATGTCAATTCGACCTATATTCTGATTGCAGGCATCGATATTGACATCGAGTTCCAAGTTTGATAAAGTCGTGGCTAATATTTCTATGTTTCTGTTAGCATCCATTTTCACATCAATATCAGTGATATTTGCAGTATTTTGAGGACGAACTGTTATATATTTTTTTAATTCATCAATTGTAGTTGTAAATTTTGTTTTAAATGTTCATCTGCCTGCAAAAAATCGCAGCAATATCTTTGAGTCCATAATATCTTGTTTTAAAATTGTATTGAACATTTTCGATAATCTATCGGATCCTATTAGCTCAGGTTTGAATCTATCATTGTCTGTTGTCAGTAGAACTTACTTATATTGCAGTTGACGGTCAAGAATTCGATTGAGTGCAGCCGAATTTTGTAGGCTTCCATAATTTTCTTCAACTTGTAAAATCGCTGTAATTTTTTCGAGGATTTCATTCAACAGATTTTCATAGTCCTCATGAACCAAAGCTACTATGTCTTGATGATATGAAGCAAAATTGAGACTGTATTCGAGTGTACATTGATGTTTCCGTTACATGTTTGGTAGTGATTTCCAGTTTTCAGTATACAGACTGCTGCTCCTGTTCATTTGATCAGAAGTGAACTTCCAAGCGTGTGGTGTGGGTGTGTCTGCTTTGTTTGTGTGTTTAAGCGAAAAGAAAGCGGGTTGCTTGAATCGTTATTTTTGTTTTTTTGTTATATTAAGATGTTAATATCAACTGGTTTCAATTTATTTATCAATAAATCTTCTTCAGGAATCAAAATCTATAACAGAGAAAAAACAAAACATTTTTTAGATCGCAAAAAAATGCAAAAATAATCACTGGTTTAACATGAAAAGAACAACATGAGAAGAAAATAAACAACAAAATAACGTCGAACAGGGGTGGGATGTGGGTCTGGATGGTATACAAGTACAGCCACACTCATACCCCACACTAACACCCACCCACACCCTCCTAAACAGTCCGCTGCAGTTGTCAAGCAACTGATTTCATTAAAAAAAAACGCTTCAAAGTTAAAAAATATCATATCAAGAACAAAACAGATTTTCCATCAGGCCTTGTTTTTGTAGAATGTTGACAGTTCAAACAGGTGAAAAAAACTGTTGTATACTCGGTAATATACAAAAAGAGGTGGCTTCAAAGATTTATTAGTTAATTATTTGCAGAAAATATTTGTTTAACTAAATTTAACTTTTTATTTTCCTACTACGATTCAATGTAAAACTTCAAAGATTTTTTCTTCTATCTTCAATATTGTGTTTGTGATTAATGATTAGAATTTTATTCAAACAAAAATACTTTCACTCGCTTTTTTTTTATCGATAGTTTGTTTTCGAAAGATTTGTAAATTTTATGGCCAAATAATCCGATGTGCCAAAGTATAAACATCAAAACTAATATAGTGACCGTCGCTGCAAAAGTGTAGCAGAAATTATAAATCGATGCATGGCGGAATAACTTATTATTCATTGGATTTTTGAATTGAGAATAGGAGTATTCTTTCCAAAGTACTAAGACAATCTAAATTATTATTCATGAAAATTTAAAAGAACAATTAGTTTTATATATACAGACGATAAGTGTCCATATAATTGCGCTAATACCATGAATCGCCATTATTATCATTGTATAAAGCAGGTACCATAAGTGAGTGCCTGACTCATCTGTTTTAAAGAATGATATCACTATCTAAATGATCCTATGTTTTGATTATTCTTTAATCAATTGAGTATGTAAATTCACAATGCATTTCGAAAATGAAAGTTCATTTTACTGAGGATTACGCTCACTCAGGAAAGGAAATAAAAAACATCAAAATTGTGAAAAGAATTATTAATCAGTTTCCTTTTAAATTTTCTATCGATCTCTTACCTTTTGTCATAAGTTGGTAAAACAAACAAAAAAGCACTCACGAGAATAGGAGCAGCAATACTACATATTGAACCTATAAGTCCCATACTAATAAGACCTTGAGGAAGAAGTGGTTGAATTGGACATTCGCCATATTTTGTAACACCCAAAAATAAAGAACTGATCGATATGCCAAAGAGAATATTGAATATACAAACAATTATCGAAAACCCGACACAATGATCTAATAAACGACTCATGGCTTCGGATATTTAGTATGAACTGTACGTGTGTGTAGTCAAAGACAAAGTTATCGCCACACTGCTTCTATGACAAAACGCAGAATGAAAACGTCGTGTATGTGATAATGCTAGAGTCAAACAGGCACGTAATCAATCTGTGATTCATGATGACTCATTTTACAGAAGTAGACGTGTAACATGAATCGAAACGAACATTAATAACACAAATACTTACTTTTCATTGAAATGAATGCTACTTATATCTGAAATCAGATTTATTATGAATAATAAGATAATGCTGAAAGTAATGTTAATTTCATATCAAGCACAAAAATCTACTCATAGGTATGTAAGTGAAGTTAGCTGTTGATTCGCATGTTTTTCAGAACGATTTGCCTAATCCAGTGTGCTCAATTTAAGACATTGTGTGTCAGATAGAGTTCAATGAGCTCAACCGAATGGTATGTTTAGAGTCTAAGACATGATCAAAACAACAAAATATAAATAAAAATACTCTTCTTTACCATAGCGAAAAATAAAATAATTCATAGTTTCTGAAATGATTCGATTCCGAATTCGTGCCAATTTCGAATTTCACATCACAAGAGACAATCCGACATGTTTTATCTGATAGTGTCGATAATATCCTGTACAACACAAACAGGGACACTCTCACATGTCCAAAATCTCATAAAATAACGGTCATATGAGATATTTCATATGATAATTTGCTGTACGACTTGTGCCACACAGTGGCGGATCCAGGGGGGAGGGCGACCGCCACCTCCTTCGGACTTAACTTCACGTTGTTTCCTAGTGATTTTTCATGGATATCTTACATTGTTGTCTAAACCGCCACCCCTTCCACCTATTGGACTTTATTTTTCTCTTATTCGCCACTCCCTTCAAAAATTCCTGGATCCGCCACTGGTGCCACAAGCGAAACCTGTTGCATTCGACTCAGTTTGATGCGCTCTACCAATTAGTATACATGTGTGCAGCCCCTTAGACACTGAAACTTCCCTAGAACCGAATATGTACGTCACGGTGGAATATGTTTTCCTAAAAGTGACAGCACAAGATTTGACATGGCCAAAACTCATACCATCCGACGCATGTTAGTAAGTCCTATTGATTGATGCACAATTAATTGTCAATCGTAATACTTTGCGAAACCTATGATCTCTAAAAACCGAGTAAGTATAAGATCAGCAACCCATGCTTCGTTTCCAAATTCACTTTACCATGTGTGCCAATAATCAGATAGATCTCAATACATCAGCATCAATTAGCTTCATTGATTGATATGTAATTTAGGGGGTGTGGTGTGGATATGGCACTCGTCTTAACTTACGTCCACACTCCTCGGTTACAACGGGAGAAACTGAGGGTCTCAAGCATGTTTGTGTCGTTGAAGTGAGTATTTTCTTTACTCACACCCAAAGTTTCTCATTGCACCGATTCTTTTCTGAAATTGACAATATTCAACGATCGTATAGTATCTCTCTACGCATAGTTAGAATAATATGCAATATAAGTTTAAACACAGTCTTAAATTGTTCAAAGAACAAACTATCGTAGTCATCATCGATGAGATTTATTCGTCTTTACTTAATTTGTCAGTAAACTTGTTTTTCTATTCTTTTTTTTGTCAGAACAAGAAAATATTTATTTCTTTCGATGACTAAAGTTCGGTAATGAATCTTTTGAGTTGTTTTAAATACTATAGAAAATATCCTAATGCTGTTGTGATGAGATTTAGAGATCTTCTTTTTTTTCCAATAATTCTCGAGGAACACACTCTAAAACACTTAATCGAGATACGTGAATTTCTTCTCAATACTTATTAGAGATTGTTGAATGTTCGATGTAAACTTTCATTTGTTTCTCTAAATTCGTCTGTGATGAAAGTCACTTGAAATTTGTAAATCGATTGTTTGAAAACACTTGAAAGAAAACACTCATGTTGAATTTCTTAATGACATCTCATCGCAACTACCAAAGGCTCCACAATCTTATTACTGCCGATGAAAAGTGGCTGTTGTATGTTAATCACAAGCGCAAGCGACAGTGGCTGGGAGCTGGACAAACAGATGTAGCAACGCTCAAAAATGACCTTCATCCAAAGAAGATCATGCTGAGCATTTGGTGGGGAGTAAAGGGGATTATTCATTGGAAACTTCTTCCAACTGGCTGCACCATCACTGCTGATCTTTACTGCCGACAATTGGACCGAGTTGCAGCAAAACTTCAGGGGAAGCAGGATAGAATTTATTTTTTGCATGACAACGCCAGACCTCACATTGCAAAGTTGATGCGTGAAAAATTATTGAAGCTCGGATGGGTTACCGTTCCATATCCACCTTATTCTCCAGACTTGGCTCCTACTGGCTACCACTTGTATCGTTCTCTGTCTAACCACTTACGCGAGAAAAAATTCGACGACGAGAACGACCTCAAATTCGACCTCGTCGACTTCTTCGGTCAAAAGTCCCAGGACTTCTACGAACACGGGATCTTTGCTCTACCAGAGCGTCGGTGACAAGTCATAGACAGTAATGGAGCATATATTGTTGAAAGCTAGTTGTATTCTTGAAGTTAAAAAATAAAAATAAAATTTTCGAAAAAAACGCAAAAACTTTCTTGCCAACCCAATAAGTTGATATTTAACTACAGATGATTTTCCATCACCATCTTAGAAGATATTTATCTGTGTTTTTCCTACTGACTCTATGAATGTTCAACTGTAATGCAAACAAGTGGAATATTTAATTCACGCTTATCATTCAAATCACTTGTAAAAGTAAAATACGGGAACATTGCCACTTCCTGACTTCGTAGCAGTCATATATTTCCTATAATTCCTGTTAGAGTCCTAAACGAACCATTTGGTCTATTTGTCTGAAACAGGTACAGGCCATGGTTTTAGACCTCGTTTGTCTATTTTTTTCTTCCAGATGAAATTTTTATCTCATAACTTGAACTTATTTTCAGAAAACAACTTCATAAACAATCAAATCAAATCCATTACTATTGTGAAGATGCCATTAGGACAATGGAAAGATCGATAAATGATGAGATTGATTTCTTCCAAAGATGTTTTTTTCTATGAAAAACCGTCACACAATGTTTTCAAAAATGTTCGCTGGTAGAATTATTCATATTGCACTTATTTATGCTGTACACAGATTGTTTCAAATAGTCAATAACTCATCGATGTATATCATATCCAATCTTTGCTAATAATCAGATCTGTTTAAATATCGTTATGTTAGTCTATCATGCTAGTTTTGATATATTTTGATAGAAATTTGTACACATTACAAAATGCTACGAAAACATCGAAGAAAAAAAAATACTGATCACTGAAAATCGCCCAAAGAATGTTTTTCTTGACTCAAACTTTTGCGTGTTTTTTACTAGTATTTTGTAGATTTCAATCAGAAGAAGTACTACTTGGATAAAAACCAACGTTATATTATGAACTAGCGGGAACCCGTGCAAACTGTACAGTAGTTTTTTATCATTGAAAGGAAGGTTTTCGTGAGGATCAGGAGATTATCAGGTATATTATTCAAATGCTTATCTCCATTGTATCAAAAAAATTTATTTACATAATCTTCATTTTATTCTCAAACACCAAACTTACAAAATGTTTTTGAAAACAATGATTTTAGTTTTACGTCTTTCACTGTTTTTTTCTTCTTTGATGATTTGTACCTTGATAGAGGTTAGAGAGCGAACTCTTAAAAAAACGACATATAGTTGTTCATGACTGAAAACTGGTTGTGGTAGCAGTAGTCCTAATCGATCAAAGGTCTGTCCTTGTGATTTGTTAATTGTCATAGGAAATGAGAGTCGAATAGGAAATTGATGCTTACGTAATTTAAAGGGCAAAAATGGATCAGACGGTGTCAAAGTAATTCTTGGTATTAGAACTCGACTTGCTTTGATAGATCCAGTTGCAATTTCACAATCAATCGTATGATTTAGTAAACGTCGCACAATCAGCCAAATTCCATTGCATAGACCTTGATGAACATCGAGGTTGCGAAGAAGCATAACAATTGCACCGATGTTTAGTTTAAGTTTATGAGGAGGCATTCCTGATGGTGTAAGGCTATTCAAAAATTCTGTAGGATAGTTGGTAATATCATCACCATCTTCACATTCTACTTCATCCACACTTGTGTACATTTTATCTATTCCGGGTAGTCATTGAAGAACTTTTTCATTGACTAAGAGAGAATGTTCATTTTTGGGACAAAGAATTGTTCTGTTGCATAGAGTTGGAAAATTTTCTATAGAAATGTGTTGACCAAAGATCTCGTCAACCAAATTACTGTCTAACATACAGGAGCTAGGCAATTCGATTTCATCATCTTCGTTCGATGTTAATTCACCATTGCCAAGTTTAATAAGCCAATTTGAGAACTCTTCTTCACCTGGTTCTGTTCTCATGTTCTGGTGTAGATGCATGACTTTGAAGTAAGGCTAAAGGTTAGAACTTTTGAGACTTGTTGCAATTAATTCTGATCTGTTTGAAAATCGAATGACTGGAAGAACTTGCCGAAAATCTCCACCGAGTATCATAATTTTTCCTCCAAAAGGTGCATCGATGTTCATTATATCTCAGCAAAATATCAACTGCATTGAGAGCATAAGATGGAACCATTGGTGCTTCGTCCCAGATAAAAACTTGAGTCTTTCTAATCTCTTCAGCTTCCTTGCTGTTTGTTCGAATACTTGATGCAGATGTTTCTAAGATAGGTACAGGAAGCTTGAAACGACTATGTATAGTTCTCCCTTCAGGCAATAAACTTGCAGCAATTCCTGTCCATGCAACTGTCATAACATGGACTCCTTGTCCCATGAATAAATAGTACAGGGTGTTATAGAGATAGGTTTTCCCTGTACCTCCAGGACCATCGATAAAGAAACATGAGCCAGCAGTGGTGGTTGATTGTTTACGATGACTTGCAAGAATTGCATCTGCTGCTGAACGTTGATCTTGATTCAACATTGCATACTTTTCTTGTCCTATTTGAAGTTCTTCTTCTTTGTTGATAATTTTTGATTCAAATGAATAAGAAACAGATGTTGGGGAGGATATACCAAAATCACTGCAACTTCGACCTTGTTCTTTCAGCTTTGCATCGATTGCATAGAGTGCCATTGCTTCTGCTGTTTCAGCATCGACATGTTGCATGAAGTCCTCGACCATATGTGCTTTAAACGAATTCCAGAGGTCTACATGTTTTGTTGGATTACAGTATAAAAGTATCACATAGAAACGTGTTCTTAGCTGTTGTGGCATCTGGAAGATAACGGCTTCAGGCTTGCATCTTTCATATTCAGTATCATCACGCAGTAGGCCTCGTCTTTTAGCAGCTTCCATAAATGTTTGACAGACTTGACCGTCTGCTGTTTTGAGATCATCAAAATTACAGGCACCAGGAGTATGTAACAGCAATAATGGAAGATGGTAGCGTTCTACATCACTACGGCCGACGGAGTACATTCTACCGATGACGTTTTCACCTTGTACTTGACGCTTCCATGTTCCATTACATTCAAAACAAAGTGTTGTGGAATATCATGGTAAAGATATTGTCGAGCATCTAGACTTTTTAAATTTAATTTGAACCATGCAGTAGGTGTCGTGTCTTTCGTAGCAGCTCTTTCCAGTGCTTGTCGTTCGTTTTCTTCAGCAAAATAAACCGGCTGCTGAATGGAAGATGGACGGCTAATCGAATAATAGCATGAGACTTGTCGTGTAATGGAAACTCAAAAGGTCTCCATGCAGCTTCAGGTGCGCTTAAATATCTTGCATCAAGATGTACTTTAATTTCATCCCATTCCAAAGTTTCTTGATCAGCAGCAGCACCTTCTTGAACTGGTCGTTGTAATTTAATGTTTGCACAATCATGTCCCTTGTAAATGTATTTAAATAAATATTTGATACTTTTCACAGTTGTACAAATTTCCATATTAATATGAGCATTGTATTTCATTAGTAAATATGGATTATATGGAACTATCCATCTGTTGTCAACTTCATACTTGCCAATAGTCATAGTAATTCCATTATCTCTTCTGCGGTATCGTGGATACCCATCCTTATTTGGCAGAGTATCATTTGGAAATTCTTTTGGAAATTCTTTTGAGCACTTCTCATCTTCCATGCAAGGAGAATGTGAGTTTAATGTTCCACATGGTCCATGAATCATATGCCTTCTCATACATTTATATAATTGTGGCAATTGGACAGGATCTGGTATTTCACTGCAGACGATATGGTCAATGTGGTTTTCATCCTTTGGCTTATCTCCGTTGGCTAAAATAATAAGAATGTGACAATTTGGTAAGCCACGCTTTTGAAATTTGATTACGAAAACATTGACTATTGTTTGTCCTAATATATGTTTCTTGAAGATATCATCAATAAGTTCATTAAGTTTGAGTTTAAAGACTCGGGTAATTAGATCAGGTCTATCAAATGGAGTTTGACCAGGAAAAAGCTGTTCTTCGATTTCTATCCATGTTGGATTACAGATAAATGTGATGAATAAGTCGGGTTTTCCATATTTTTGGACGATTGCCATTGCATCTTGATAATTCTGTTGCATTGCTCTAGGACTTCCGTGGAAACTTGATGGAAGTATTATAACATGTCCAGGTATTAAACCTTCAATTACAGCTTCATTTGCTAAATGGTCCATAAGACCTTGGTATAATTCTACTCGAAGCGCCTTTTGATTTTGTCGATGGAATGCAAGTCGATTTTGTTCAGTTTTGACGTAAGCATCGACAATATATTGCTGAAATAATTTTCCGCCATAGTGGATGGTACTGAAATTTTGACGAATCGCCAATAGATAACTTTAAAATTAAAGCATTGATACTCGTTTTCGATTTCATGATTGATCAGTTTTTTCTAATTCTGGATGCCATCCTTTATCTCCACGAGGAAATAAAAGTGAATAAGTCATTGAATCACAATGAGGATGTACGATTAAAAAAGTTTGAAGATCTTGATCACGTGGATGAATAGCAATATGTCGGTATGTTGGAACTTTACTGTCTTCACCTACGAAAACTGCAGCGATTTCATTCGCTGTTGGAAGATTGTAGAGTCACCGATCATGAATTCCATGATTAACGTCAAAAATCATTCGAAGTAGAGGCGGTGCTCGTTTCTCTGTCTTGGCTCGATCAATTTCTTCTTGTTCGACTTCATGCACCATCTTGAAGACAGCACCAAAACGACTAATGCTCNTGCAGAACCCTCCGAAAAGGTTCTGTAGATTTCTAAAAGACTCCAAATGTGTCCAAAGTCTCAAAAAAAGGATAAAAAATTCGATAGAACCTTTTGAAGGTTCTGCGTTTTACCCAACCGCAGAACCATCTCTTACAGAACCTTTTTTAAGGTTCTGTACAGCAAAAAAGGGTTCCGTGAGAAAATACGAAACCTTGAAGGTTCTGTACAAACCCTCAACCGTTGGTACGTAACCCTAATGGTTCCGTACTGAACCGTAATCGTTTTGTACAGAACCTTCAAGGTTTCGTATTTTCTCACGGAACCCTTTTTTGCTGTACAGAACCTTAAAAAAGGTTCTGTAAGAGATGGTTCTGCGGTTGGGTAAAACGCAGAACCTTCAAAAGGTTCTATCGAATTTTTTATCCTTTTTTTGAGACTTTGGACACATTTGGAGTCTTTTAGAAATCTACAGAACCTTTTCGGAGGGTTCTGCAAACCTCCTTTATTTTTTTCAGAGTAGATCAGACGATTTTGAGATGTCATCTTCATTCTTCACCTCTCGCTTTGTCACCACCTTAGTTATTTTACGTGAACACATATCATGTTTGTGTTTAAAATTAAGTAACCAAGTATCGGAACCAGTAAACTCATTGAATGACATTGATCTTGCTTGTTGATAACGCCACCTTTTCAAATCGATGTCATGTACAGGGCATAGTAAATCTCTAGCACGCTCGAACGTATCATACACGAAATCGTCGACCGAATCGACCTTCTGCTTTTTCGTTCTCTCTTCCTCGACGTATTTTCGAAAACGAGCCATATGATATTGATAAGGTATACGTTGAAAGTGATGTTTTACATTTTTCCAGATGTGCTTTCTTTTACCTGTTATAGAGTTGATAGCATCATAGAATTCCAGAGCCCGTTTCATATAAAAAAAAGTGAAGTTCTTGAAAATTGGTTTTTTATCTTCCTCTTCATAGTCGGGATCCTGATAAAAATCATTCGAATCCGCTTCACATCCGTCGAACTCCGAGTCAAGAGTCGAGTAATCGAGCGTAGTTTCATATTCATGGTTGTATGAATCACTAGTTAAGATCGATTCTAGAATTCCCAACAAATGAATGGCCACTTCTTCTTCATGAACGACCGAGCTGGGTAAACAATTGGATAGCTGTTGAGACGCTTTAGCCGTCAGAAGCTGTATAATTTTATCCGCAGCACTCATTTTTGTTAAACAATGTCCAAAAAAACGACTCCTCCTTGCACAGCTCGTAAAACGAAATATTCGCACACATATGCGCCTTACATTCTTTTTCTTCGTTCTCACACAATGGTATGCATCAAATCAACAGGCAGCATCAAGATAAAATTCACCCTTATATAGATCTTGATGAATATAGAGATTGTGAAGAAGCATAACAATTGCGCAGATCTTCAATTTAAGTTTATGAGGAGGCACTCCGGATGGTGTAAGGCTATTCGAAAATTCGGTAGGATAGTTGGTAATATCATCACCATCTGCACATTCTAATTCATCGACACTTGTATATATTTTCTCTGTACCTGGTAGTCGTCGAAGAACTTAATCATTGACTAAGAGAGAATGTTCATCTTTAGAGCAAAGAGTTGAAACATCTTCTATAGACATATGTTGACCAAAGATCTCGTCGATCAAATTACCGTTTAATACACAGGAGCTGGGTTATTCGATTTCATCATCTTCATTCGATGTTAATTTACCATCGCCAAGTTTAATAAGCCATTTTTAGAATTCTTCTTCACCTGGTCCTGCTCTCATGTTCTGGTTTAGATGTATGATCTTGAAATAAGGCCAGAGATTAGAACTTTTGATACTTGCTGCAATTAATTCTGATTTTTTTGCAAGTCGAATGACTGGAACAAATTGCCGAAAACCTTCATCGAATATCATAACTTTGCTTCCAAAAGATGTACCGATGTTCATTATATCTCTCAGTAAAATATTAATTGCATTGAGAGCATAGTATGAAGCCATTGGTGCTTCATCCCAGATAAAAACGTGTATCTTTCTAATCTCTTCAGGTTCCTTAGTGTTTGGTGGAATACTTGATGTAGACGTTCCTAAGATAGGTACAGGAAGTTTGAAACGACTATGTACAATTCTTCCTTCAGATAATAAACTTGAAGCAATTCCGGTCCATGCAACTGTCATAACTTAAATTCCTTGTCCTATGAATAAATGGTACAGTGTTACAGAGATAGATCTTTCTTGTATCGCCGGGACCGTCAACAAACAAGCATTAGTCAGCAGTAGTGGCTGATTGTGTTCGATGGCTTGCAAAATTGTATCTGCTATTGGACGTTGATCTTAGTTCAACATTGTATACATTTCTTGTCCAATTCGAAGTTCTTCTTCTTTATTGATAATTTTTGATTCAAATGTATAATAAGGAACAGATGTTGGTGATCGTATATCAAAATCGCTGTACCTTCGAGCATGATCGTTTAGCTTTTCATCGATTGCATAAAATCCTCGGTCGTATGTGCTTTAAACGAATTCCAGAGATCTATTGGTTTTGTTGGATTACAATATAGAGGTATCACATAGAAAAGTGTTCTTAGCTGTTGTGGCATTTGGAAGAGTACTGCTTCAGCCATGCATCTTTCATATTCAGTATCATCACGTAATGGGCCTCGTCGCTTAGCAGCATCCATAAATGTTTGACAGATTTGGCCATCTACTGTTTTGAGGTCATCAAAACTACAGACACCAGGAGTGTATAATAGTAGTAATCGAAGATGGTAGCGTTCTACATCACTGGGACTGACAGAGTACATTCTACCAATGATGTTTTCACCTTGTAGTCGACGCTTCCATGTCGCATTATCGTGTTCAAAAACAAAATAATGTGGGATATCATGGTAAAGATACTGTCGAGCATCTGGATTTTTGGAGTTTAATTTAAACCATGCAGTAAGTGTTGTGTCTTTTGCAGCATTTCTTTGCAAAGCTTGTCGTTCGTTTCCTTCAACAAAATAAACCGATTGTTGATTTGGAAGATGGACGGCTAATCGGATAATAGCATGTGACTTATCATGTAATGGGAATTCAAAAAGTCTCCATGCAGCTTCAGGTGCACTCACATATCTTGCATCGAGATGTGCTTTAATCTCATCCCATTCTAAAGTTCCTTGAGCGGCAGCAACACCTTCTTGAATTGATCGTTCAAATTTAATGTTGGCACAATCGTGTCCCTTATAAATGTATTTGAATAAATATTTGATACTTTTCACCGTTGCACAGATTTCCACATTAATATGAGCATTGTATTTCATTAGTAGGTATGGATTATAAGGAACTACCAATCTATTGTCAACTTCATATTTGCCAATGTTAATAGTAATTCCATTATCTCTTCTGCGATATCGTGGATAGCCATCTTTATTTGCCATAGTCTTATTTGGGAATTCCTTTGGAAATTCTTTTGAGCATTTTCCATCTTCCATGCAAGGTGAGTGTGGATTTAATGTTCCACAGAGTCCGTGAATCATATGTCTTCTCACACATTCATATAATTGTGGAAATCGGACAGCGTCTAGTATTTCACTGCATACGATGCGATCAATGTGATTGTCATCCTTTGGCTTATCTTCGTTGGCCAAAATGATGAGCATGTGACAATGTGGTAAGCCACGCTTTTGAAATTCAATTACGAAGACATGAGCTATCGTTCGCCCTAATATGTGTTTCTTGAAGATATCATCAATAAGTTCATCAAGTTTGAGTTTAAAGACTCTGGTAATAAGATCAGATCTGTCCGAAGGAGTTTGGCCGGGAAAAAGCTGCTCTTCAATTTCTTTTCATGCTGGATTGCAGGTAAATGTGATGAATAAGTCAAGTTTTCCATATTTTCGGGCAATTGCCATTGCATCTTGATAATTTTGTTGCATTGCTCTAGGGCTTCCTTGAAAACTTGAGGGAAGAATTACGACACGTCCAGGTTTTAATTCTTCTATCACTGCTTCATTCGCCAAATGATCCATCAAGCCTTGATATAGTTCTACTCGAAGAGCCTGTTGATTTTGTCGATGAAATGCAAGGCGATTTTGTTCAGTTTTGACGTAGGCATCGACAATATATTGCTGCAATAATTTTCCTCCATAGTGGATGGTACTGAAGGTTTGACGAATAGCCAATCGATAGCTGTAGAATTGAAGCATTGATATTCTTTTTCGTTTTCGTGATTGATCGGTTTTTTCTAAGCCTGGGTGCCATCCCTCATCACCGAGAGGAAATAAAAGAGGATAAATCATTGGATCACAGTTGGGGTCTATAATTGGAATCGTTTGAAGACCTTTGCAGCGTGGATGAATAGCAATATGTCGATTGCTTGGTACTTCATTATCTTCACCCACGAAAACTGCAGCGACTTCATTTGCTGTTGGAAGATTGTAGAGTCGTCTATCGTGAATTCGATAATTAATATCAAAAATCATTCGAAGTGGAGGTGGTGCTCGTTTTTCTCTCTCTGCTCGATCAATTTCTTCTTGTTCTACTTCATACATCATTTTGTAAGCAGCAGCATAAGGATTAATTCTGTTTATTATGTCGCCGAGTTTCCTCATCGTCGTTTCATTGCAGTTTTCATTTTTAGATGAGACATATAAAATGATGTGACATTTAATGAGGTGTTCTGGATTCGAACGTTATTGCAAGGGTATAGTAATGCTTCACAAAGTTCAGAGAATCTGTTTGACCTCTTTTATTTCCAATCCAATAGAGGCGACTTGTGTTGGAACTACGTTTATAAAAGAAGAACAGAATAAAGAAAATGGTGCAGTATAGAACCCTTTTAAATTGCTAAAGCCATTTTCTATCAACCACAGTTCTTTATGGGGAAGAAATGGTGCGGGATAGAACTCTTATAAATCTCTAGAACCATTTTAAGTCACTCATGGTTCTTCAATAAGAAAAATGGTGCGATGTAGAACTCTTCTGATTCGCTGGAACCATTTTAATTTAATCGTGGTACCTTACAGAAAAAAGTGGTTCAGCATAGAACTCTTTCTAAATCTCTGGAACCATTTTTTATAAGTCACGGTTCTTTATAAAGACAAAAGGTGTGAGACACTACTATTTTAAATCTTTTGAACCATTTTTCATCAGTTATGGTTCTTTATAAAAAAAAATTGGTGAGAGATAGAACTTTTCTAAATATCTAGAACTATTTTTCATCCGTCATGGTTCTTTATGTACAACAATGGTGCAAGATAGAACTCTGCTCAACCTCTGGAACCATTTTTTTATTTGGCATGGTTCTTAAAATCATCTAGAACCTTTTGATGGTTTACTAATAAACGAATGAAACCTTAAAAGGTTCTGGATCTTCGCTAAAACCCTTAATGGTTTCGTATGACACCAATTTTTTTTAGAGAGTAGTGGTTTTTTAATGAGTTTTGAATTAATTACCATCTGATAATCTTCGTAAGTAAACTAAAATCTAGATTATGGTAGCTATTCTCATCTTCACCCTTAAGAGTCCCTTGTGCTTGAGCAAGGACGTAACCAATCGTGGTATGCTCTTCTATTCTAAATTGATCCTCAGCTTAAAAATTCTACACTTTGCATTTAATTTTATTTTCACATAGAAATCGTGTAGACGATAATTTTTAGTCTGATTTGAAAATAGATTTTTAATCGAAATAAAAAATGTCTTCAGTCGTCTGAGGAGTCCCTTGAGCAAGAACGAAACATGTCGTATGATTGCTTTGAATATTAACGTTCTCATTGGTAATCAAACCCTCCAGATTATTTATCTATGATAGCGATGTATTTTTATCGGATTGGGATTTTTTAATTCAGATTAGAAAGTAATTTGAAAAGACCTTTGAGCAAGGTCGAAACATATGTCATGGCAGCTTGTCTCACACCCTCATCCTCATCCTGGTTTAATTCATCGTCTAGAAGAATACATTGAAAATGATTATCTTAAAGCAGTTACTTACCTATGTACATTTGATGTTACAGATTTATATACAATGTTACCACAAGAAGAATCAATTGATATTCTGATTGAATTTCTTCTTGAGCATGATTATAATAAAGTCAAAGGTGTTCCAATAAATGAACAAACATTAACTGATCAAACCAAACAATTACAAAAACGAAAAAGATTTATCACAACAAGAAGATTTATTGAATCAATCTATGAAATTTTTGAGTCAATTATCTATATCACAAGGAAAATCGGAAAAAAATGAAGAATTTTACACAAGAAAAAGTATTATCTATTGATAATAATAGTAATCATTCAAATGAAGAAAATTGTATTCTATACAAACCATCAAAATATTTGAAAATGCCACGAAAATTACTTCTACACTCATTACGTCTTCAGTTAAATTCTAAATCAAAGAAAAAGAACGAACAACGTTTTATATTATCAAGACTTGAACTATTAGACCAACAGTTTTATCTTGATCAAATTCGCTTTTTTTATCAGACATATTTCGATCTAGGCGTACAACATCTAATGTGGCCAGTAAGTATCAAAATTATATTGTCTATATAAATTAACGGGTGCGGCAGAATAAATGGCCGATTTTTATTGTGACCATAACTTTTTTAGCTTTTATGCTGTTGACCTAATTGTTTTTTCAAAAGATAGACCGTGAAATTCTCTACAAAATAGTATCTTTTATTTAACCTAAATAATCACCACCTTTTTTTGACAAATGGTACAAACGATTAGTCCAACTACAACAACTTTCTAACACAACATCTGATCTAATTTTTTTAACACCACGTTTTAATTCATCAATTAATGTTTGTTTTGATTGAATATCATCCCAATTCATTTGCTGAACAAATTCATTCCATATGCAATAATCCAAAGGATTGAGGTCAGGACTATTTGGTGGCCAATGTTTTTGATCAATAAAATTTGGAAAATTGTCCTTGCACCATTGCTGGGATAAATGATGAACGTGTGGCTTTGCACCGTCTTGTTGGTATGTCCAGTTGTTACCAAATACTCTGTTTCCATAGTTTTTAGCCACCGGTAAGACTTCCTTAATATAACGTTGATGATCCAAAGTCCCTTCATCAAAAATAACTAAAGGTGTTACACCTTTGGAGCATACACCTAACCACACCATTACCTTCTGTGGAAATTTTTGTTTTTGTTTAACACCACCTTTAACATCGGCTTTACTACGATCAGATGCCCATATTCTATCATTTTGAGCATTATACATTCCATCCAAATCAAACATTTTCTCGTCAGAAAAAAGAATTTGTAATGTTTGTTCTTTTTGAAAGTTGTTGCGTACCCAATTAGCAAACGCCATTCGTTTTTTCTTATGAACTTTAGTAAGTAATGGTTCAATTCGTTTCTTGTATGGTTTAAGCCCTAAATTATCCTTTAATATTCTTCTAACTGATCGTTCTGAAATATCCAATTCTTTTGCTAATAATCGGGATGATACACGTTTTTTGGATTTTAACCGGTTTTTGACCTTTTGAATCATATGTTTGGAACGAATAACGCGTGGACGACCACTTGGACTTGATAAATCAATTGAACCCGTCTCCCTAATCATTGTACACCATCTTCCAATCGTTCTAAGACCAATGGCACTATTTAAATGACGAAATATCATAGGTGGTGTATCACCATTTTTGTACTTAGAAAGTACTACTTGTTGTAAGTCCCTACTTTTCATATCGCTAAAATTCACTGTATCTGAAATTTCAAAATCAAGCTATGGTGTTTTGTAGAGGATTTCACGGGCTATCTTTTGAAAAAAAATTAGGTCAACAGCATAAAAGCTGAAAAAGTTATGGCCACAATAAAAATCGGCCATTTATTCTGCCGCACCCGTTATTATATTGATCTCTCTTTTTTTTCAAGGATCATATTCTCAAAATAATGCAAACGAATGAACATACTCTCAAAAAAAAAGAGTTTAGGAAAAAACCATTCATGGTTCTAGCGGAAATTCTGAACCTTTTAAGGTTCCAGTCGTTTATTAATAAACCATCAAGGGTTCTAGATAATTTAAAAAACCATGTCAGATAAAAAATGGTTCTAGACGTTACGAAGAGTTCTGTCTCACACCCTTTTTATTTATGCTGAACTTCTTTTACAAAAATGGATCTAGCGCAAGTCGCTTGAACTAAATGTGATCATATTTTCAATGCGACTAAATTAAAGGAAGTCTGGAATAGTTTCATTTATCTAACAAGAATAGAAAGCAGGCGACAGGAGCCACTAGCGGTGGCACTCTAATTTTAAAAAAATCAAAGTTAAAGTAGTTAAGTCATTGAATAATGAAAACTTTGTGGACTTGAGAATTTCGTTAGAGTAAGGTTATTTTTCAAAAATAATGAATTTTTATAAAGTCTGATCAAAAGTTTTCGTGGACGAACAATCTCAATCTGTAATCGATTTTTTCAAAGTTTCGAATGTGATTTTTGAGGTGAGAGATCAATATCAATAGCAATCAATATCATTACCTCAATACGATATTGATATTGTGACATCCGTAGTTCACAAATTTCGGAAAAGTGATTTGAAATTCGAATCCCTCGGTCCCAACATCCTTCGATCAAACTTTATAAAACTTCGTTATTTTTGAAAAACAACCTTTCACTAACAAAAATTTGCAGTTCACGCATTTTCCATTAATCAATGACACAACCACTTTAACTTTGATTTTTTTAAGTTAAACTGTCACTCCTGGGTATATCGGAATAAGCAACACAATGGTAAATTTAATATTATAAAATACTAGCGGAGACCCGTGCATATAGCACGGCTGCTTTTTCCTCTGACGTATTAGCTTAAACTTTTAACCTTTCACTCGGCTTCCAACATACACACACTCCACATTATGCACAATTCAGGACGATTTTTCTCCTTTTTAGCTCACTTTAGCATTAGAGGTTGTGTGAGTAAACTTACACAAAATTTCGAGCCCTACAAAAACGTCTCGAGCATAGCAGTGTCACATATCCGAAATTGTGGAGATGCATCCGCGTCTTCTTCAGGAGATGCCGCATTTCCAGCGGCAGATGTCAGATATGATGCGGGGCATGTGCACCTCTGAAGGTGAGGATACATCTCCTGGCGGAGATGACCTCATCTCCCTCAAGACATGCCGCATCTCCCGCTTGGGATGCGGCATCTCCTGAGAGAGACGTGGATACATCTCCAAAATTTTGGATATGTGACACTACTCCTCGAGCATCTCTCTTCTAGCACATGCACCAAGCTGGAAAACTCCCCTCGAAATTTGATTGGCTGTTACTAATTGACCAATCAGAATTGAGGAAGGGTTTTTCACCCTTATAGCTCACTTTAGCATTAGAGGTTGTGTGAGCAAACTTACACAGAATTTCGAGCCCTACAAAAACGTCTCTAGCATCTCTCTTCTAGCGTGGGCACCAAACTAAAAAACAGACCTTGAAATCTAATGTTAACATTTTTATTTATTTATGTATATACCCATCCGCAATCGATATGTAAGTTTAATTTATGACATGATTAAATTTTTTTCGTTATTTAGGTATATCCCAATAATCAATTTAATGGTAAGTTTTAACTTATAAAATAATTAATTTTTTTATCCATTTAGGTATAGCTCAATTATCAAATCAAAGATAATTTTAATCTTATACAATGAATTAATCTTTATCCATTTAGATATATCTCAATCATCAATTTAGTGGTAAGTTTTAACTTATAAAATGAATTCATTTCTTTTTTTATTTAGGTATATACGAATAACCAATTCAATAGTAAGTTTAGTGTTATAAAATAAATTAATGTTTTTATCTATTTAGGTGTATGTGAATAATTAATTCCATGCTAAGTTCAATCTTATAATATAATTTTTTTTGTCTGTTTAAGAACATCTCAACATCAAACAACGACGATGCGCTGTTCTTGCGGATAAACAAGAGAGTGCCTGCTCTTATTCTACTCGGGACAAATCTGGGTAAATATAATAGATATAGAATTTGAAAGTTAATGATAGAAATTAGGCGTTATATATAGAGATAGCAGGTTAGATATAGGGATAAGGAGTTAGGTATAGAATTAAGGGGTTAAGGGTAGATATAAGTGCTATATATAGGAATTAGGGGTTAGATATTGGGATAGGGGGTTAGATATAGGAATGAGGGGTTAAGGATAGAAATACGGGGTTAGATATAGAGATAAGGGGTTAATGATAGAAATGGGGAGTTAGACGTAGGGGAAGCGGTTAAGGATAGAATTATGGGGTTAAGGATAGATGTAAGGATTTAGACACAGAATTAAGGGGTTAAGGATAGAATTATAGGGTTTAGGATAGAAATAAAGATTTAGGTATAGAAATAAGAGTTAAGAATAGGAATAAGTGATTAAGAATAGAAATAAGGGTTTAGATATCAAATTCAGGGGCTAAGGATAGAAATAAAGGTTTAAATAGAGAAACTAGGGGTTAGATATAGAACTAAGGGTTAATAATAGGAATAAGGGATTAAGAATAGAATAAAGGGTTAGATATAGAATTAAGGGGTTAGACATATAACTAATGAGCAGTACTAGACCAAGTTTGTTGGATGGACTGCTTTTTACCAGGCTAGAACCATTTTTGAAAGAATAGAAAAAGAGTTCAAGATAGAACCATATTTGCTAGAACCTTAAAAGGTTCAGAAAATGGTACCCAAATCTAGAACCCTAAAAGGTTCAGTATGACACCGTTTTTTTTGAGAGTACTACAATTCAGAAATATATAGAAGAATATTTGATATTATTACGATGTAAAATTGATCAATATACAACTGAATTAATTACACAATCATCATCTTATCCATTGGCATTATCATCTTGTTTGGATATAATTGATAAACGATTAAAAGAATTCATTCGTTTACATCATATTGATTTAATAAGGCAAATCAATTACAAGTAACGCGGCGTAAGCGCCGCTGGCCCTCTACTGAAAGGATCTTATCAGATTAGTCAGAGATATGGTAAACAATCATATAGAATATGTGATGTCGACCGAATAAGGCTACTTTAGATGCTTATGCTTAGTGAAATTAACGGAAATATACGACGATATCACTGATTAAGGATGTTCCAATCTTTTAAGCAATTGAAATACTTTTCACATCATACTATTCGATTTCGGTTGTAATTTTACTATTCTTTAGGTTCATCCTTCTGTGCCGAGTCGATAGTATGATGTGAAAAGTATTTCAATTNGTGTCAAAGTAATTCTTGGTATTAGAACTCGGCTTCGTTTGTTAGATCCAGTTGCGACTTCACAATCAATCGTGTGATTTAGTAGACGTCGCACAATCAGCCGAATTCCATTGCATAGACGTTGATGAACATAGAGGTTGCGAAGAAGCATGACAATTGCACCGTTCTTTAATTTAAGTTTATGAGGAGGCATTCCTGAAGATGTAAGACTATTCAAAAATTCTGTAGGATAGTTGGTAACATCGTCACCATCTTCGCATTCTACTTCATCCACACTTGTGTACGTTTTTTCTGTTCCGGGTAGCCGTTGAAGAACTTCTTCATTTACCAGGAGAGAATGTTCATTTTTGGGACAAAGAATTGTTCTGTTGCATAGAGTTAGAACATCTTCTATAGAAATGTGTTAGTCAAAGATCTCGTCGACCAAATAACCGTTTAAGATACAGAAGCTAGGCAATTCGATTTCATCATCTTCGTTCGATGTTAATTCACCATTCCCAAGCTTAATAAGTCACTTTGAGAACTCTTCTTCACCTGGTCCTGTTCTCATGTTCTGGTGTAGATGCATGACTTTGAAATAAGGCCAAAGGTTGGAACTTTTGAGACTTGCTGCAATTAAATCGGCTCTGTTTGAAAATCGAATGACTGGAAGAACTTGTCGAAAATCTCCACCGAGCATCATAATTTTTCCTCCAAAAAGTGCATCGATGTTCATTATATCTCTCAGCAAAATATCAACTGCATTGAGAGCATAGCATGGAGCCATTGGTGCTTCGTCCCAGATAAAAACTTGAATCCTTCTAATCTCAGCAGCTTTCTTACTGTTTGGTCGAATACTTGATGTAGATGTTTCTAATATAGGTACAGGAAGCTTGAAACGACTATGTACAGTTCTTCCTTGAGGCAATAAACTTGCAGCAATTCCTGTCCATGCAACTGTCATAACGTGGACTCCTTGTCCCATGAATAAATGGTACAGGGTGTTATAAAGGTAGGTTTTCCCTGTACCTCCAGGACCATCAATAAAGAAACATGAGCCAGCAGTGGTGATTGATTGTTTACCATGACGTGCAAGAATTGCATCTGCTACTGAACGTTGATCGTGATTCAACATTGCATACATTTCTTGTCCTGTTCGAAGTTCTTCTTCTTTATTGATAACTTTTGATTCAAATCAATAAGGAACAGATGTTGATGATGATATACCAAAATCACTGCAACTTCGACCTTGTTCTTTCAGCTTTCCATCGATTGCATAAAATGCCATTGGTTCTGCTGTTTCAGCATCTATCTGTTGCATGAAGTCCTCGGTCATATGTGCTTTAAACGAATTCCAGAGGTCTACAGGTTTTGTTGGATTACAGTATAGAAGTATTACACAAAAAAATCTTCTTAGCTGTTGTGGCATCTGGAAGATAACGGCTTCAGACATGCATCTTTCATATTCAGTATCATCACGTAATAGACCTTGTCTTTTAGCAGCTTCCATAAATGTTTGACAGACTTGACCGTCCACTGTTTTGGGATCATCGAAACTACAGGCACCAGGAGTATATAACAGTAATAATCGAAGATGATAGCGTTCTACATCACTGGGGCTGACGGAGTACATTCTACCGATGACGTTTTCACCTTGTAGTCGATGTTTCCATGTTCCATTACGTTCAAAAACAAAATGTTGTGGAATATCGTGGTAAAGATATTGTCGAGCATCTGGATTTTTCGCATTTAATTTGAACCATGCAGTAAGTGTGGTGTCTTTCGTAGCAGCTCTTTCCAATGCTTCTCGTTCGTTTTCTTCAGCAAAATAAACTGGCTGTTGATTTGAAAGATGGACAGCTAATCGGATAATAGCATGAGACTTATCATGTAATGGAAATTCAAAAAGTCTCCATGCAGCTTCAGGTGCGCTTACATATCTTGCATCGAGATGTGCTTTAATTTCATCCCATTCCAAAGTTCCTTGAGCAGCAGCATCTTCTTGAATTGGTCGTTGTAATTTGATGTTAGCACAATCATGTCCCTTGTAAATGTATTTAAATAAATATTTGATACTTTTCACAGTTGCACAAATTTCCACATTAATATGAGCATTGTATTTCATTAGTAAACATGGATTATATGGAACAATCCATCTATTGTCAACTTCATGCTTGCCAATAGTCATAGTAATTCCAGTATCTCTTCTTCGATATCGTGGATATCCATCTTTATTTGGAAGAGTATCATTTTGAAATTCTTTTGGAAATTGCTTTGAGCATATACCATCTTCCATGCAAGGAGAATGTGGGTTTAATGTTCCACATGGTCCATGAATCATGTGCCTTCTCACACATTCATATAATTGTGGAAATTGGTCTTGATCTGGTATTTCACTGCAGACGATATGGTCAATATGATTTTCATCCTTTGGCTTATCTTCGTTGGCCAAAATAATAAACATATGACAATGTGGTAAACCACGTTTTTGAAATTCAATTACGAAGACATTCGCTATTGTTCGTCCTAATACATGTTTCTTGAAGATATCATCAATAAGTTCATTAAGTTTGAGTTTAAAGACTCTGGTAATTAGGTCACGTCTATCGGATGGAGTTTGTCCAGGAAAAAGTTGTTCTTCGATTTCTCTCTATGTTGGATTACAGGTAAATGTGATGAATAAGTCAGGTTTTCCATATTTTCGGACGATTGCCATTGCATCTTGATAGTTCTGTTGCATTGCTCTAAGACGGCCGTGAAAACTTGATGGAAGTATTATAACACGTCCTGGTCTTAAACCTTCAATTGCAGCTTCATTTGCTAAATGATCCATTAGACCTTGGTATAATTCTACTCAAAGAGTCTTTTGATTGTGGCGATGGAATGCAAGTCGATTTTGTTCGGTTTTGACATAAGCATCGACAATATATTGTTGGAATAATTTTCCTCCATAGTGGATGGCGCTGAAATTTTGACGAATAGCCAATCGATAACTATAAAATTGAAGCATTGATACTCGTTTTCGATTTCGTGATTGATCAATTTTTTCCAATTCTGGGTGCCATCCTTTATCTCCGCGAGAAAATAAAAGAGGATAAGTCATTGGATCACAGTTGGGATCTATAATTTGAATCGTCTGAAGACCTTGACCACGTGGATGAATGGCAATATGTCGATATGTTGGAACTCCACTATCTTCACCTACGAAAACTGCAGCAACTTCATTCGCTGTTGGAAGATTATAGAGTCGCCGATCGTGAATTCCACGATTAATGTCAAAAATCAGTCGAAGTGGAGGTGGTGCTCGTTTTTCTCTCTTAGCTCGATCAATTTCTTCTTGTTCCACTTCATGCATCATCTTGTAGGCAGCAGCATAAGGACTAATTCTCTTCATTATATCGCCGAGTTTGCTCATTGTCGTTTCATTGCAATTTTCATAAGCAGCATTTCCCATTCGTTCTTTTAATGCCAAGGATGAGTCTAAAATGTAAAGTTGTCCAAATTGAGCTCTCTGACCAGGATCAGGATGGAGTGGGCCGATCCGATGATAGATTTGTCCATAAATGCGAAATCAATAGGGCCCATATCCTCAAGGGGGAAAAAGCGGATCCCGGATCCCAGGATCCTGCAGATCCCGATGGATCCTATGGATCCCGCTGGATCCCATTGGATCCTATGGATCCCGCTCGATCCCATTGGATCCTGCAGATCCCGATGGATCCCGCTGGATCCCATTGGATCCTGCAGATCCCGATGGATCCCGCTGGATCCCATTGGATCCTGCAGATNATGGAAATTCAAAAAGTCTCCATGCAGCTTCAGGTGCGCTTACATATCTTGCATCAAGATGTGCTTTAATTTCATCCCATTCCAAAGTTCCTTGAGCGGCAGCAGTATCTTCTTGAACTGGTCGTTGCAATTTAATGTTAGCACAGTCGTGTCCCTTGTAAACGTATTTAAATAGATATTTGATACTCTTTACAGTTGCACATATTTCCACGTTAATATGAGCATTGTATTTCATTATTAAGTATGGATTGTAAGGAACTATCCATCTGTTGTCAACTTCATACTTGCCAATAGTCATAGTAACTCCATTATCTCTTCTACGATATCGTGGATAACCATCTTAATTTGGAAGAGTATCATTTTGAAATTCTTTTTGAAATTCTTTTGAGCACTTGTCATCTTCCATGCAAGGAGAATGTGGGTTTAATGTTCCACATGGTCCGTGTATCATATGCCTTCTCACACATTCATATAATTGTGGAAATTGGGCAAGATCTGGTATTTCACTGCAGACGATATGGTCAATGTGGTTTTCATCCTTTGGCTTATCTTCGTTGGCCAAAATAATAAGCATGTGACAATGTGGTAAGCCACGCTTTTGAAATTCGATTACGAAGACATTGGCTATCGTTCGTCCTAATATATGTTTCTTGAAGATATCATCAATAAGCTCATTAAGTCTGAGTTTAAAGATTCTGGTAATTAGATCAGGTCTATCGGATGGAGTTTGACCAGGAAAAAGCTGTTCTTCGATTTCTCTCCATGTTGGATTACAGGTAAATGTGACGAATAAGTCGAGTTTTCCATATTTTCGGACGATTGCCATTGCATCTTGATAATTCTGTTGCATTGCTCTAGGACTTCCTTGGAAACTTGATGGAAGTATTATAACACGTCCAGGTCTTAAACCTTCAATTTCAGCTTCATTTGCCAAATGATCCATTAGACCTTGGTATAATTCTACTCGAAGAGCCTTTTGATTTTGTCGATGGAATGCAAGTCGATTTTGTTCGGTTTTGACATAAGCATCGACAATATATTGCTGGAATAGTTTTCCTCCATAGTGAATGGCACTGAAGGTTGGACGAATAGCCAATCGATAGCTGTAGAATTGAAGCATTGATACTCTTCTTCGATTTCGTAATTGATCAATTTTTTCCAATTCTGGGTACCATCCTTTATCTCCCCGAGGAAATAAAAGAGGATAAGTCATTGGATCACAGTTGGGATCTATAATTTGAATCTTTTGAAGACCTTGGCCACGTGGATGAATAGCAATATGTCGATATGTTGGAATTTCACTATCTTCACCTACGAAAACTGTAGCGACTTCATTGGCTGTTGGAACATTGTAGAGTCGCCGATCGTGAATTCCATGATTAATGTAAATAAATGCGAAAACTTCGGATTTAAATCCGAAAGTTATGTGTACTTCAAAAAGTGAATGAGACAGATGAGTCATCCTAGAATGTGTGGACATCAAAATTATCCTGGCAAACCTTTTCTATAAAATACTTGATTTCTATTGGCTACTCTCAACCAATAGGATTTGGGGATGAATACAGCTCAGATTTGAACTCTTCGCCTTGATTTACCCTAAGAAAGTCGTTTTTCCTATAACTTGATTTCNCCTCCATAGTGGATGGCACTGAAGGTTGGACGAATAGCCAATCGATAGCTGTAGAATTAAAGCATTGATACTCTTTGTCGATTTCGTGATTGATCAATTTTTTCCAATTCTGGGTACCATCCTTTGTCTCCGCGAGGAAATAAAAGAGGATAAGTCATTGGATCACAGTTGGGATCTATAATTTGAATCATTTGAAGACCTTGACCACATGGACGAATGGCAATATGTCGATATGTTGGGGCTTCACTATCTTCACCTACGAAAACTGCAGCAACTTCATTCGCTGTTGGAAGATTGTAGAGTCGCCGATCATGAATTCCATGATTAATAGAAAAAATCATTCGAAGTGGAGGTGGTGCTCGTTTCTCTCTCTTGGCTCGATCAATTTCTTCTTGTTCGACTTCATGCATCATTTTGAAGGCAGCAGCAAAAGGGCTAATTCTATTTATTATATCACCGAGTTTGCTCATCGTCGTTTCATTGCAATTTTCATTAGCAGCGTTTCCCATCATTCTTGTAATGCTAAGAATGAGTCTAAGATGTAAAGTTGTCCAAATTGGGGCCTCTCGTCAGATTCAGGATGAAGTGAGCCGATCCGATGATAGATTTGTCCATGAATACGAAAGCAATAGGGCCCATATCCTTGTGGCAAATCAATTTGAGCCCCCATAGATGCAAATGCAAGAGCACTTTTGTAACTTCTAATGTTTTCTCGAAAATTTCTTGATTCAACATCGGTTCCTTGTAGAAGAGCTTTGATTTCATCTGGATATGGAAGAAGTTCCAGAAGTTGAACAGATCCGTAGTGACAGCATTGCTTGAATTCATCCTGTCGATCAGAAGTGCGCTCATCCTTAAAGTGTAGAGCATTGCAATGTTGGCAGAGATTATCCATTCTCCCATGATAGCTTTCAGGAGGAAATTCGTCTTGAAGTGCAGCTTCATACAAAGATGAGCTGTGCTGTCGACAATGGCGTTGACGAAAAGCGTTCTTCGCTTGTCGCTCAAGTCGTTCATCATCAGTTTCTTGTTCCCTTCATCTCTTTGCTCTTGACGCAATTTTTCGTCGTCGCTCTTGCTTTTGTTCCTCTGATTGTTGCCTGTATTGCGAACGATGTCTTGCTGCATCCGTTTGCAGTCGTTGCTTTCTCTTTTCTTCCATTTGTTGTGCACGTCATTCTTGGATCCTTTTGGATCTCCTCAGTGTTTTCACCTTAGCGCTATCATGTAATGCTTCGACTTCGACTTGATTAGCAGCATCGTCCATGTTCGAGATAGTTTGCTGGTCAAGTGCTGTTGGTACTGACTTGTCATCATATTCATAACCCATCGTAGAGTCGTCTGTTGTATCAGTCATCATTGATATTAGGAAAATGATCTGCTTGCAGTTGCGATGGGTCTATTTATACCCCTCTGTAACTTATGGCAGAACCTTCCAGAACATTTTCGAATAGTCCAGATATTTCTAGAACTTTCTAGAAATAGAGGAGCACCTGGTTTGATCTTTGACCTTTGACCTTCACCTTCCAATCTCTGTATAGAGTTCTTAGCTAAACTTCTACAATGTTCTCAAGACTATCCTAGAAACTTGCACCAATGTTCATATAATTTTTAAACGTTCTAGAAAATCCCAGAAACGTTACCCTGTAACCTATCACTTTTGACGTTTCCGCTTTAACCCGGCAGAGAAACAGACAGACACTGAACATTATATATATAGATGATTTATTTCTTTTCTTAACAACACTAGTTGTCAATAAAACGTGAGAAAAAAATGAAGAAAAGCAAAATAAACGAATGGGCTTTTCTTTCGATGATAAGTGATTAAAGAAAGAAATTCGAACTATATATTGGTATGTATACTGTCTGTCTTTCAGAAAAAAGTCGTTTCATTCGTCCTATCAATAGCAAATATACTTCTCACCATTGACATCTATAGGGAAAAAAATAAGGCAATCGATAAATTGGAAATGTTCTAATTTATTTAGTATTAAAACAACCTAAGAAATAAGTAAAAGTTGTTACCATCTGGGGCAAAATTACTTTTCGTTCACGTACATCCTATAAAAGAGTTATTGCTCTAGTAACGAAGTTACTCAATATAGACTATGGATATCATTATGAGCAGGGTTCGAAATAGCAAGTGTACCAAGCAAAATCAAAATGTACGAAACCCTTGCGACATCTCAGTATTTTCTCAAACATGTTTTCGCTCGTGTCAGATTGAAAAATAATTATGCGTTTATTTATTGTTTATACAATCTTCTGTATTTGTTTTATATCGTTGATAAGTTAAAAAAAATGAACATTTATTATTTTTTTGTAGATTATACAATAAATTTCGACGTGTACACCTTGATACACTTTGCTTGCAAAAATAAAGTGTATATGTACACTTTGCTTGGTTAAGCAGAGTGTAAAAAAACATTTTGTTTCAAAATTCCATTGCACACCCTGATTATGAAAGTGAAAGTCACGAATGTTATTGTCGGAAAGTATTTTCTGTCAAAAGTCGTTAAGCGAATTTCGTCCCTAATCGGATATAGTACATTCGAGTGAGAATTAAAATTTACATCTTTTATTAAAACATCATAGTGTAAAATCTATTACCCGAGATCTTACTTAAAATGCATATATATTTTTTGGATCTGCTATCCAAAGCATGAGTCATTGGCTTTTGACAACTTACCAATATGTAAATATTAATACGTCATTTCCAAGTGCATATGTGTAGAAACATAGATTTGTTTGCAATGACTTTATTGTTCTGTATATAATCAAAAAACGTTTTTCGTTCTCATTTTCTTTTCTACTTGTTTACAAGACAATTTTTATATAACTTGATTTGGACAAGCAACTAAATGTTTCAAATTTGATACAGACAGAATAAACCATTGATACCATAATTAATCAAACATTGTCATGTTCTTGCTCTATAAAAAAAAAAGAAGATGTCCACTACAAAAGAAAAACGTGTAAAGAAGTCATGCCTTTTTTTCGAATAAATTATTCGATGCTTTGAAGTATTTCTGATAAGAATAATAACTAGCATCTTATCATACCATCTATCATAGAAAAAAAACACATTATCAGTCAACTTGTTTCGGTACTTCACATTAAATTGGATACTTATTTAATCATTTTTTTTAACATATCTTATTTCTGAATCGTGAATCTTTTGTAAAGTACTCTAATCTATGCGAATAATTCTTACAATATCATTTGATGATCGACTGAGAAACGACATGCATTCCACACATATAAAAGTTTTTATGAATTTTTTCAGTTGTTGTTGCTGATAGATCTTTGATGTCATTCTCACTCTTAAGATGATTAAGAAGAAAATACTCTAATTAAAATGATTGAAAACTTAAAAACTCGAATCGAATTAATCAATGTTTAGATCATTAAAATCTGACAATTTATAAAATAATGATTCCTATTTAAGGATTGTTGTTATCAACAACATATAAATAATTATCTTTGTCCATAGACCATGTGAATCATTCACAATCGTTTGATCTGTAGTTGCATCTACAATTTTATTTTTGCATTGAGGAATTATATGAACTTACTAACCGAGTCGGTAATCACTAATCTCAACAAGTGACAACTCTTGCTTGATGTCAATTACTTTCGGTCTCGATGAGATTGGGTTAAACGTCGGGTACCATTACTCGACTCCTAGTCGATTAGGTATAAACGGTCATCTGACGAGACCATTCATGGCTTCTTATTCATATCACGACGGGCAGAGTCTACTGGTAGTTGTTATTCTGGTATTTTAACAGAGTTTTTAGACAAGTGAATATTTCAACTGAAAAATAGCATATGATATTTCAAGATAACAACATTTTTCTTCCGTTAGTGAATGATAAATTACTTGAAATGAATATGTTATAAGAGTTAATGAACGCTATATATGTACTTGTTAAAAAAGTATTGTGACGTATTCATAACTTGTTTTTTTCTCATTTAGAAAAATGAAGCATGGACAAAGAATATACATAGAATTCCACAGAATTGCTGTTTTTTTAATATATTTTATTATTAAAGAAAAGAATTAAGTTGAAGATGAAGATAAGAATAAGATTTAGGACAATGGACTAGTTGAGTATGAGGCTTACTTTACCGAACTATAGCTGTCTATAGATATAGGGTGTAGGTGTGAATAAAAAACGATATCCACCCACACCCATCTTTCAGTATTTTCTTGACGATTGAAAATCTTCGGAAAATTTTTAACAGAATTCTAATTCATACAATGCACAACCCAAAGTTCATGATACTCAGCTAAATGACACGCGCATCTTTGTATTCTGCTGAATATTTTTGCAGCCAAGAGCGTGATTGTGGATGCTGATGTTCTCTTCACCGATATCTACACACACACTTTTTCTTTTTAAGTTTATCAGTTTTTATTGCAATAAAAATTTTATAGTTTTAAAATGTCTCTAATAAAAGTAAAATGAATATGTTCTGAATTCAAAAAGAAGCGTGCTTGATTATGATTTAAAACATTAAAAACTACCGCCTGGTTGAAATTCTTGGTCTTTACTATTGCTCTAGGATGGATAATCACACAATGCTCAGTAACTTTCTGCCGTAGTTCGTGTAGTATCATCGCAAATATCTTCAGCCATTTCACTGAGAACTACTTATTGTGAATGAAAAAGATAAATTGGGTTATTAGTCAATAGGTATATTTCTTTTGCTCTGGACAAGATCTTCTGTAAAAGAGTACCTTGTCTTAGCTGAAGCAAACATTTTCCTTTCTTCAGAACAACTCAGAAAGATGTTTTTTTTTCAAGACAAAAAACGTAATATCAGTCTAAACAAAAATGGCTTTTCGTATTAAGAAACACCTTTATTGAACTATGCTAAGACAATATTATGTAGAAATTACAATTTCACAACAATTTCTTTTGCTTGAACTTTTAGAAAAGATTTCTTCACAGTGAAAAATGCAATATTGCATGAAAATAATTGTTTCTTGTTGCTTTACTGGAAAAAATTTTTTTTCAAGTAGAATGAAAAGTTATTTGTGATAAAACTAAAGTTGCCCAAAGCCGATACTCTCTTTTATGTGTTCTTAGTCTAATTTCTATTTGCCACAATGGAAACAAATGCATGTCTATTGATCTTCTTTACATAAATTGTAAAGAAGACTTTTTCGTATGTCTTTATAAATTTAGAAACACGTTTTAAAGCATATGTTTTTCTTTATTTGATATCGCGCTCAACAAACATATAAGCTCTGTGCACAACGTGCACTAAGTAGTTTCTTATGTAAAAGAACATCAGGAGTGGTACATTTTTCTGTAGTGGAAAGAAAAGAATAAAGTGTAAAGCAAAAGTTTACTCTATCTGATAATGCACAAGCTACGACTTTATTATCGCAAAGTATGAATAGAGGAATAGTTATTTAGAATTATCAGCTTCAGCAAGTTATTTTTGTTGTCCATTTTCATAACGCCTTTATTGAACAAAAAAATCTAAAAGCAGGAATATCGCATTTAAATTTTTTTACTAGATGTCACGTTAGCAAGTTTTTGTAAAAATCGAAGCAAGTTATTATTTACCTCCAATCTGTCCAATATCAATAAATGGATTCAATGATTTTCCAAAATCCATTAGAATATCTGTTCTCAAAATATGAAAGTCTCCCGTTAAACAATCAATTTCAACTTCACTCATTCCAACTCCTTGTGTAAAATACATAAAATTAACATCATTCTTTTCTAAATTATGTTTCAGAAACTTCTCTGGTACAATATAAAACCCATTTGCAAATAATTGTATACGTTCATAGTATGCTTGTTCGATAAGCTTTTGCCATGTCAAAGTTGGATGTTTCACTTTTAATGGTGCAAGCTTTTTGTTGAGTTGTTGACAAGCATCGATTAAAGCAGGACCGTAAAGATCTGATGATAGNTGTCAGTGCAATGAAATGCTGATACAAATAATAAAAAGTTTCTTGTAGTCTATAAGCTGGTGATAAAGAGCATAGCGACGGACGACAATCACCGCTGAAATGCTCCACCCAGAGTCAATTGTTCAAGGAGAATGTATTAGGAAAAAGTATTATGAAAGAAATTATTTAGGACGAAAGTACTTTCCAATTACGTTTTTCGGTTTTTCAAAACTAAGTTTCATTCCAAAGATGGCGTCACATTTCGATTACTTTTTGAACTAAAAGCATAAAATACGCTAGTTTCACAAATCGATAGACGTCGCTACGCTAATTCTCTGTTCCTCTCTGGATTTTAACAGACCGAAAAATCCTTTTTTTGCAGTTGATTTGTGTATTGAAAGTATTTTTTCCAGAAAAGTGGAGTTCAAGAACGTGAGTTTCATTATAATGCATAAGAAGATTCCGAGTTCAACATTACTTGAAAGACTCGTCCAACTCTGATAACAGACTAGTTATGAATTTCGGTGGATAATGTTCATGAACACGGATTTAGAACAATTAAAAATCGATTGATTGTGTTATTCATTTTCAATTCCTTCAGTCACAAGTAAAGCTAAGAAGCGGTGACTTATGTAGAATGTACCAGCTGCGATACTTTAATAAGACTTAGTACGAAACCTGCAAGGGTTTAATACAAAACCTTTGATTATTTGGAAAAATTACAGAAGTATAATACGAAACCTTTTTTATTACGGAACCTTTGAAAGGTTTCGTAGGCGCGTACGGACACTTTTAGAATATCACAAAATACTACTGAACTTTAAAGGTTTCGTCTGAAACCTTTTTTTTTTCAGTGTGGTACTATGATGAAAGATAAGTTGCTGATGATAATTTATTAGATACTCAATAAATTATATTTAGGATATGTGAAAAGTAACATCGGCGATAAAGCATTAGATTTATTTGAACAAATGCCTTTTGCTCTTCAGAATGTTGGTTATACTATTATTTTCAATGCTTGTGCGCAACTTTTGAATGATCGTGCTAAAGATATTGGAAGAAAAATTCTTGATCAAATGCCTAAATATTTTCATGATGACAATGTTTTACTCAATTCAGAAATTGATATGGTAATGAAATGTGGCGATGTTGAAAGTGCCGAGAAGCTATTTCAACCAATCAAGGACAAAAATATTGTGACATATGGAGCGATGATGAATGGATATAATATAAATAATGAACCGTTAAAATGTTTACAACTACTAGAAGAAATCAGACAGCAAAATTTTATACTCGATGAATTCATATCAAGTATATTGATAAATGCATATGCACAACTTGGTATCCCAGGTCGAACAATCCGACAGTCGGATCTCGTCGGATCCTATCGGAAAAATTATCGCATTCGATGGGAATTCGTCGGAATCCTTGGTATCAGATTCCAACAGGAAGTTATCGGATGTCGGAAAGTGTGGGAAGTGAGCAGAATCCTGTTGGAAACCTGAAAATCCGACATTTTCCGACATCCGACAACTTCCTGCCGGAATCCGATACCAGGATTCAGACCGCTTCCGACGCATTCCCATCGGATCCGATGGGGTGAGTTCGACCTGGGAGCATGTCTGTGTCACAATTAGCCATGTCAGTATTAGAAATGGCCATTACTTGGGCATAAATCACCATTTTTTGGTCGTTATAATTAACTAAAGCATCAACTTTATCATATACATTAGCATCTTTCAATATTTTATGTGAACTATTTGAATGTCTCGATAGTATGTAATATTAGACATGTTACAAATATTAATAATTTCTCCTAGACTCATCATTATACAGAATTCATTTTTATTTAAAAATATAAGAACATCTTTGTCATCATTCCGTCAGTCTAGGGCCAAGTGAATCGACATTGAATGTCGATGAACGTTACTTGTTATTAAAGTTGATTGAAAATCTTCATTTAAATTGAATTGAAAAGGACTATACAGACATTTTGATTGATGATTATCACCATATTTCATTAAATGACTCATTCATCTTTTCATTTACCTAAGATAAATGAAATAAAATGGCTTTTCTCAGCAATAAGACACTTTTTCTTATTGTTTCTTTTTTTCTAATTAAATTCTAATTAGAGTAACTTTAGAAAAATGTTTTCATTTGGATCATCAACAAATATAACAACAACAACAAGTGCTACTCCATTTTCATTTGGAAGTAGTTTGACAACGACTGCTCCAACAGGTGGAGCTTATGCAAGTCCATTTACCTTCGATTCTGATATGTACGACGAGTATATCAGCAATTACACCATTTGGTGGTAGTACTCAAGCATTTGGAATTGGTGCAACAATAGCAACAGTAGTATCGACGGGTACTAAATCAACTTTTTCTTTTGGTTCAATAGCTGCTGCTGCTAGCTAGTACTCAACCAGTTACATTTCGATTTGGATGAACTGCAGCAGCGGCAACAACTCACCCTTCTGCATTTACATTTGGATCTACAAGTAGAACATTTTCTGCCCAACTAAAATTTTCCGTGGATTGAAATAAGGTGACTTTTCAATATTTGAGTAAACAAAGACACATGTACTTCATCGTATCGAATCTTATTATTCAATTCAAGAGAAAACTGAACTTATCGATCTTTCTTCGACACAAGTTATTGGCAGATTAACAAATACAATGGATTTTTTATTATACGCAGGAAATTTTTCCATATTTTATTCAATCTGTAATCAATTGATCAATGGAAAATTCAGCGAAGTTTTCATGTTTTATGAAAAATATTTTATTAAATCGAATAAACGAAGTATTTTTATAAAAATAATATTCGATTAATTAGTAACAACATTTTTAATTTGAAAACCATAGTGAGATGAAATATGTATTTCATGGTCAATCATTTAATTAATTGACAAAAGAAAGAAATCTTTTTCTAATGGTAATATAATAAATACTTGCAAAATTTATTTCTTGACATAAATATTATGTTATACTCATATCACTTTTATTTTATCATGTATAAATCAAACAAACAAAGAAATCAGACGTGTTTTTGATTGAAAAAAAAAGTCCAAAAGATTTTTGAACTAAGAAGAACAAAATGACAATTAGAAAATGAATAAGACTAATTGGAGATTCAGAAGAGAACAAAAGTGAATATTTAAATTTAATTTAATTTTGAGCATCTAATTATATAATTCAATTTTCTGATTATATGTCGAATTTTGTTTTCGATTATTTGTGTCGCATGGTACTAAACAGAAAAAAATAATCTTCATTCGATTTCTGAAACAAAAAAAAATTTTCTTTCTACCAATAACAACATTTGATTCACCTAAAATTATAATATTAATAAAATTATTATTATTATTATTATTATTATTATTATTATTATTATTATTATTATTATTATTATTATTATTATTATAAAATTATTATTATTATTATTATTATAAAATTATTATTATTATTATTATAAAATTATTAGTNGCTCAGTTCTGATGACTCAAAATCAGTGATTGATATGAGCATTATTATGCTGGGAACAATGAGTGACAATCTTGTTTACGAGCGATACACTCATGATGTTGGAATGATTCACTTTGGTACATCTATGGATATCACTTGTCCGATCACACGGAATCGCGATGAATTTGAGAAAGCTCTGAGCATTCAGCCAGAGCCACAGGAATGGACAAGTATGTATGATGCTGTTAACACGGCTAGAACGCTCATCGTCACGTATGGAAGAAATGAAAAAATACGCGTTGCAGCCGACTGCAAGAGACTTATAATTTGTATATCGGACGGTATTGATAATCGCTCTATTACAACTATCGATCAATTACGAGACCGTCTTAAAATGTGTAATGTCGTGATAGATTTCGTCTTCCACTTACGCGATAATCTGCTCAAGGATGGCGAAAAAGAAAAAGTTCGTCGTTTCCGACAATTATGCAAAGAGAATTACGGCTATGTGTACCAGAATTTACCTCTTACAAACATTGAACTTGATGCCACATTTGGACAAGAGGCAGCGGTGTGGCTTTCTGAGAGAGATTCCAAAACCTTTGGCTTAGTCGACAAGCCGGTAGGCCGAATGCCCGCTCAACTACATCAGAAAGCTACATATAGAGTTCCAAATCAATTGGCTTCCAACATTCAAAATGTATCCAATTATAACCGAGTACGTCATGAAGCAAACGATATCATGCGTGCTAAACTGGAATGCGTTATTGTATACGTTTGTCGTGATGACATTTTCTTTTGGAAGGCTATAATGAATGGGCCATCTAGTACACCCTACGAAAGTGGTCGCTGGATGGTCTCCGTTCATTTCAATTTCCAATATCCTCGGAAGCCGCCTAGTGCCCGTTTCCTTAGTGAAATCTATCATGTGAATGTGAGTGACGATGGCAAAATATGTCATAATGTATTCGATCGAGATTGGTCAAACAAGGCGACAATGATCGAAGTTTTTCAGAACATTTCTGATTTGCTTCGAGAGCCAAGCTTCGAAGACGCTGTATCTCCTGAGAAAGCGCAACTAAAAAGGGACAAACCAGACGAGTATGATCGTCAAGCAAAAGAATGTACGCAACGGCATGGAAGTATAACCTCGCAGCAACTTAAATTAGAATTTCAGCTCGAAGACTGGTAAAAGTTATAGCGTAGAAACACTCATTTATAGCTATCAATGGGTGTAGGTGTGGGCGTGCGTGTGAGTGTTGATGAAGAGAAGACGAACACCCGCCGACAACCACACCCGGCACCCACCTACACTGCATATCCACACCCGACACCTCACACCCACTCCACGTCCACACCCACACACCCAAACCAACCCACACCCCACACCGACACCCACTCCACACCCACACCCACGCCCACCTCCTCACTCGAATAAAAAAATTCTTGTTTAAGTTTTTTTTTTTAACGCAATGTGAAGTTGAAATTTAATAATAATGAATAAAATACCAATAGAAACCTAGTTTATATGTGTATCGATATCAATACTAGAGCAATAAGTAATCGCATAATTCAAACGTTCATACATGATTTCTTTAGTTGAATATGCAGGCAATTGAAGAGTAAAGAGACATGTATACGATCCTAGAAGAAAAATCATATAATTCAATTCTTTGTTAAAGTAGAATCTACAATATTTTTTCGATTTTAAAAACAAAAATGATGGAGTACAGTTTCACTACATGGTGCTTTAATAGATTGTGACCTTGAATTTCAGTACCATTTTGTATTTCTTGTTGTTATTGGTTACTAACTATAAATAGTCAACAAGCTCTTAACTCTGAAGCATTTTCTTGTCGTTTATCATTGCAAATCACTATTTATCTATCGAATCATAGACAACTAAATGGAAGATGAGAAAAAGACAAAACAAAATAAGTTCTCATGTCATTCAATCATCTTTTCCTGATAAATGATTACTGCAATAAAAGATCGATCCTGAGGTGCCAACAACCCAATCGAATGAAATAAAATCATGAATATTCTCTCTAATTATAATATCATTTTGATTACTTTTTCATATTCCGAAACTACAATGATGCTATTCGAATATTCGCTTAGAGCTCATTTATTGAAATAAACTTACTCGGAAGAGCTTCATCAACATTGCCACTTGTTTCGAGATCTGTTATTTCGAAGTTCGTTGAAAAATCTTCATCTCTATACGGCAATGTACTTCGTCCCCAAACAAATATTAAAAATAGTTTTTTCTGTTCTTCACTAAACATTTCACTTAAAACTGACCAGAATCGCTGAATATGTGGCGAAGATTCATGATCATTTTGATAATCTGTATGACGTTTTAGCATTTGGATATCGATATAACCTTTACCACACACAGTTTCTTCTAATTCATGAGCTGTGAATAAAGTCAAATAAGCCAACGGTACGACACTATACAAACCTTGACGAATAAATTCAATTTGTCGACGAAATTCATTAATACGATATTGACGATAAAGCATACAATAATCTTCGAAATTAGCAGTAGTGATCGGTATATGAAAACCACCCGGAATAAGTTCATAAGTTTGGCCCGTCGAACTAACGACATCAAATGTAAGTTCAGTCATAATACTACTAAACAAATAGTCACAATTGCTATTCAGGTCACCATCGTTACATTCATTGAGACTTTTTACTTTTTGAATATTTTCTTCCATTTCATTGATAATTGCAAAACTTGAAATGTCAATAGCTTCAATATCTTCAATTGTAACTTCCTCGTGTATCAGTTGCTTCCAGAGTAAAATTGGAAATCGAATATCTAAGTAATGTTTCGTACGTATTGCCATGCCCATGAGTTGCCCAACAAAACGATATTGATTTTTAATATCAACTGGCGTGAATCGATTCGGTGGGAAAACATTCGGAATCCATCGATCACGATTCAAACCATTGTTTATTCGCCCATTAGGACAAAGAATAAACAATGGTAATCGTGTGCTACATAAATCAGCACATATTCGTGTTACTGAATCTCGATAAGGTCCGCCTTGATCATCACTAAACATGCCAACATAGGTTGCCTTCCAGACTTGATCATCATTATTTCGTCGAAATGTTCGAGATGCATCAGAATATAATTGTTTATATGCTTGATAGAACATGGTATCCTCAGGATGTTCAGCTAGACTCGCTTTTACAATGTCGAATTTTATATTTACTTCTGATGACTCTGAACTTTCGGCAGTTTTAGCTAAAGCTTCATTGAATATTTCAAATTTTGTTACAAATAATATACAATGTCGTACCGATCGAATTCGATCTACAATGAAACCGATGCCCGATGGTATGCTAAAATCTATCTTTGACAAGGTTTTTTCGAGAAAAATATTGAATAAATAGAAAACTTTTATACGCGTTTGTATACACACCGATGGTATATTACATAAGTAAGTAAATAAATTATATTTGGTCGAATCAGGAATTGACTCAGCTGGTAGAGTTTCGATGAAATCGATAACAAATTCACGTGATAATGCATTCTCGTCGAGATTGATACTTTGATTCATGAAGTTCGTTACTTGTTCATCAGCAGTCCTATTAAAATGCATATTAGCTGTCTCAACCATTTCTTTCGTCAATGTAAATTTTTCGTCTAGAATCTCCTTCGATTCAGTGAATAATAGTTCAGACCATTGGTGAGGTTGTATTTTATTTGTTAAAATATTGATTAGATCGAGAGTGATTGCTAAATCCTTCATGAACGATGGTCATTCATTCAAGGATGAAACCAATAGCTTTTCTCTTTCCATTCGGATTAACTGTAACTGCATCAAAGGACGTCGAAAAAACTTCAATGCAACACTATCAAGATACGTTTCATTCACTATTGTTTCCATAAAAATATGCAGAAGAAAATTCTGAATATCGTCGTGAAGTTTGAAATTTTCACTTGCTGCAATCAATCTATTTTAAGAGAAGACAACGTAAAAAAAATACGAAATCAAATTTGATTAAAATTCTCATTTGATAGTCGATATTTCCATGGTATTGATTGATATCTGCGTCCTATTCAGCTAATTTGTGTTATGGAATAGGCTACTGCTTAGTAATAAGTTTCTTAGATCCATAGAGGAAAAAGAAAAAAAGATGCATGAATTCAAACAAATTTTCAGTGTTGATAAATGGAAAACTTTTACACTTAACGAATTTCATTGATGTGTAACAATAATTCTAGTCCAAAATTATCAAAATCACAAAGGACATCTTATAGCTCGACTACTATGACTAAAGTTGTTGTGATTACCCTATGCGTAAATATACGAGTTCACATATTTCAGGATGACTCAATGAGTTTTGGTATTCAGATTCTGTGAAGCATGATCGAAAAGAAATGTTGAAGTCTAAAGGGTTAAAATTTTTATACCCTGCTGTTTGTCTACAGACCGTGATCAAAGGCTTCCACAGTCTATTGAAGATTATGTGTGACGTATATCAATAACATACTTAGTAAAAAGATTAAGGATGAACATTTTCAATTGATGTGAGGATACCAACAGAAATAGATCGAAGAGTATTTTAATAACTATGTCTGGAAACAGTAATCGAATCACCAAATCGACGTCATAATTTTTCATTTCAAAATCTTTCAATACTTCCGAAAAGAGATAAAATATTTTTAGAAGAAAATCTACGTTTGATTTTTTAATGAATATTTGTTCATCAATAGTTGCATCATCATTGTTTCTTACGTCGATTAGCGATGGTTCAGTAAGAAAGTGAATCGATTCTTCAACAACTAGCTTTTGTAAATGAAAAGTTATTGGAGCTTTTCTATTTAATATTTCACTAGTAAGTTTTTCGTGTACGATACATTTTAATAAATCTTTTAATTCAACTTTTATTATCGATATTGTCAATACGTCCATTCTATTGAGAGTTTCATCAAGAAACATGCGTGTATATGTATGATGATGATCCATCCATCGTAATAAATTTACAATAAAACTTTCATCACCGAATTTCGAAAGTGAAAATAAATTTGATTTATCATCATTGCACCAGATTTTTAACATATTCAACATTGTATAACGTGCATAGATTGTTATTAGTCCATATTGACAAATTGTACGTAACTGAATATAGATTTTTCGTGGTATTTGTGGATGTACATAATGTGATGATGTTGCCATAGTTTTATTGAATTTATTGATAAATTCTGTTTCTCCAGAATCTGCTTTTGTTAAATCAAGAAGTTTATATTCAGAACATCGACCTGTTAATTGATTATTCTTTGCTTTATCTCGAAGCCAATCATTTAATTTATCACGAATGCCTACAGAACGAACTGTTTCATTAAACCATTTTTTATCTGATGGCATATCATCACCATCGTCGTCATCATCGTTGACTATTTCAGATCTTAATGTCGATATTGATAAGTCGCTTACAATGTTATCAGTATCCATTAACATATATAATGTTCCATTTTCATCATACGGATTCAATCTTCTTAAAACATCAAGTCTTTTTTGTTGTTGCTCTTGTTGATATATGTTTTCTATATATTGCGTTTCTTCTCGTAGAATTCTATCAATAAAATAAATATTCTTCGTGTTATATTTTTTCATGACATATTTAATCGATTGTTCTTTGTAACCAATACCAATGAGGCTTGCTGACAGAATGCTAAACGAAGGTGCAACTAATTGATGCAGAGAATATTCAGTTGATTGGATTAAGTTTTTCATTGATGAAGAAAGTATAGGAGTTGATTTATTTAAATATGTTATCGATCGACATTCAATACGTAGTTGATCGTCATTGATAGTGTTCTTAGTTAAATCTAACTCTCGAAATAGATCAATACGTTTCAATTTCGTTGCAAATTGATCGTCCTTAATTGATACATCGAGTTCTAACAAACCAGTGGCATAGATATGAATAGAATTTTGTTGAACAGAAATAAGTAAACGAATATATTCTTGTAATTTCACAGTTGATGAACTTTGATGTCCTCCTGTTACACAAAGATGACCATCATTTGTTACATAGATTTCGGATTCTGTATCCAAGGTCAATAAGGTAAATCGAACCTCGCTACCGGATAGGCCTTTTTCTGATGGAAAATCTGGTATAGAAATATCTAGAATCAACGTGTATTCGAACCATACTTGGTTTGCAGTGTTTAAAACTAAATAAGTTTTATTTCCGAAAAGTTGTACAACAGATTGATTAGTGTCGGGAATAGCCATAAAATAGCTCGACTCATGACAATCAAGCGATTGTTTCGATTTCTCCCATAGATCATGTTCAAATGGTCCATTGAATGGAACGAGTGTTTCATTCGTAAAATATTTTTGTTCTGCTTTGAATTCAATCGTATTTTTTTGTTTTCGATATTCATTTAATTTCTGATAATCAACGGCAACATATGAGAGACCATATGTGAAAAGACGTCGAACATGTTCTTCCGATAATATATATTTCCACATCCCCAAATTTCTAATTCCAGCATTGAGACATGGCAAAAGTCGTAGATTCAATTTTGAATTTGTGTTTGGATCAAATTTGTGACAATAATTCAATGTTTGAAACTTATTGTTAATATAGACTTTTACTGGTTCATTGATTTGAAATAGAATAGCAACACGTTGTCGATATTTCATAGTTTCATCGATGAAATCATCATTCATACAGATTTGAATAGTAAACATTTCATTCTCTAATGCAAATAAAACAATATCAAGTTCATCAAGACGACTTTCTCTCTTATCTGTCGCATTAATCTCAAAATCAAAGCTAATAGTTAATGATTGATGATTATCAAGTGACAATAAGAAGCCATCACATTCTTTAGATAGCTTCAGTAGATAATCCTCCGGCATTATCATATCGATATTGAATGGAACTTCAAAATGTTCACCATTGACAAAATCACGTAGCAAAGAAGTTTTCTTGTCGTCAGTGAAATCATTCTTCGAACAACGACTCGTATAGAAATATTGTTGAATGTCATTACCAATAAGATATGCATTATAAGGGTATGCCACGAGTACATTTTCCATTGTCAATAATTTTGGCATTAATAATGGTTTGTATCCTTTTGGTAGAGGACATTGTATCATATCTTCTGGACTAAGTATAAATTCAAAAACACCTTTATTACTCATATTGTGGCGAAGTTTTACACTAACAGCAGGAAAATAACTAGCAAAGGCTCCATGTGGTAATAAATTTGTTTTGATTACTGATTTAATTGTTGTATTTTTCGAATGTGAAAATACTGTACCTAAAAATTTACCATTTAACCAATATTTGATATTCGTATTGCTACCATCGATTTCAATACCACAGCCACATAAAGCCTCTTTATCCCAATAATTTTCACGAAAAAAGAGATGATGTTGACTACTCTTATAAACTCCTTTTACTCCATTAAAACCCCATGAAAATTCATCATAACCAATGCCATAGCTACCATTTGCTACTGGATTAAATCCATTCGTTGCCCAACCAATTTGTGCTGCGCCACCTTGTGGAAATTTAACACAAAAGTACCATTTTCCTTCATTCAACTCTATGCCATCAGGAATAAAAGTTAGATATCGAATATCTCCAGCGTCACCAGTTATGTTAACTCGTCCTTTGAATTTATGCTTGATACCACATTCTTCTAAAGCCGATAGATTATCCTTGGCAGGCACTGAAATAATGAATCTCNAGCTATGGCATTGGTTATGATGAATTTTCATGGGGTTTTAATGGAGTAAAAGGAGTTTATAAGAGTAGTCAACATCATCTCTTTTTTCGTGAAAATTCATCATAACCAATGCCATAGCTACCATTTGCTACTGGATCAAATCCATTCGTTGCCCAGCCAATTTGTGCTGCGCCACCTTGTGGAAATTTAACACAAAAGTACCACTTTCCTTCATTCAACTCTATGCCATTAGGAATAAAAGTTAGATATCGAATATCTCTAGCGTCACCAGTTACGTTAACTCGTCCTTTGAATTTATGCTTGATACCACATTCTTCTAAAGCCGATAGATTATCATGGGCAGGCACAGAAATAATGTGAATTTCATCATTTCCCAATCGACCTTTTTTGTAGGATTGTATCTCACTTTTAGATGCAATCGGATTCCAGTCCTCATCTATCGAACTTGTTTCAGATAGATATTGCAGAATAATAGGATCACGAATAATATTCATTTGATTCCATCCATTTCTATTATGAATAATGTCAAGTTTGTTTTCAACTATTTGATTTTTTCTTGCATATCTATCTAAACTTAGATAATATTGTTCTAGATGTAATCTATTAAACAATCGTAAATCATTTGGTATGGTACTACGAATTGAATCAAGATAATCCATCGAAGTCGATAGTTTAGCAATAATTGATGCATAAGGTTTTTGCATAAAAATTTCAATAACTTGTTTATAATTCAATACAGCATATAATGCTGTTACTACACGACATTTTATATCTAATAACATCAATGAATCACTTGTTGATGCATCAATTTGTGCAAGAAATCCTAATGTATCAAGAATAGTATGAACTGCATTATCGATTGGTAAAAGTGAGAGATTCATTGGTAGAACATCAACAATGATGCGTATTTGATTCGATGAAACCCATTCAGTCTGATTCGTAGCTGCATATTGTATAAGATAAGGTTTAACATCGTATGAATTTAATTCAAAAGCATCCATATTGATGTCAATTATAATTGCATATTGTAATTCATGCATAGTTATATCAGTTGAATAGACTTCTACAGTTGATCCTAAACAATACGATTGAACATAACCGCCTAATATACATATGGATGCAAGAAAGAAATTCATTTGTTGTAATTCGACTGTTTCTAATGATGTAAAATTGAAATTCATACATGACTTTATTGCATCAACAAACAATTGAATTGCGAGCTTTTGCCATGGTGAATTATATGACATAATCGTACGATAGATATAAATAAATTCAATGATAATATCAAGATCTATCTTTTTGATTTCTAATAAATTAAAACTCTGACCAATAGAAAACAAAATTTTCATTAATAGATTTTCAATAAAAGATCTATTCGTTGTTCTATTCGTATTGTCGTCTGGTAAAAATATCAATAGATCACGTAGAGTTTTCAATGTTAGTAGACGAGTGCTAAGTGATTGACTTGTATGATATAAATCGAATATTTGCTCAATATAATCGATTGTAGCACAGCTCAATCGTATATGATCATATAAGTGAACACAACGAAGTAAAAGCATTAAATATTGATGGATACCAACGTCAACATCACATTTTGATGATGCAACCAAAGAACGAAGCGAAACATTTTTTAACGATGTGTCTACACAGTTCTTTTTGGATGTTAATTTATTTTTTTGTAATTGTTTGAGTTCAGTTAAAATTAATTTATTAAAAATCAAATTGCATTGTTGCTGTAAATTATAATGAAATTTCCGATTACCGATATGTATATTTCGTAATTCTTCCAACTCGATATTTTCACATAATTTTAATACAACTAGACGAAACCAATTGAATGCTGTGAGTTTCATATTCATTGAATCGACACTTGTTGTATCTATTTCGGCAAAACTAATAAAGCGATCAAATAGCTCTTGAATAAATTGATAATTATTCAAAAGACATAAATCCATCGAATCATAGTTTAGATTTATCAGATTAAATACATGTAACATGAACAAGGTTTGCGTATTAGATTCCATTGAAATTGATAATAGTGTTTTAACAATTTTATAATATAGATATCCAATATCTTCTTTCAATTGATTATTTGATGCTTGAATATTTTCAAGATAGTGCCAATCTAAATTATTATCTTTTAAATTCATGAACAAAATATTCAGAATTCGATTATTATCTTTGCTAGCAATAATTAATTGATCAATAAATCGATAAGTAATCAATCGAGTCATAGCTCGTTGATATTGTAGTGTGAGACATTTAACAATTTCATTGGATTCAATTTTCAATTTTCCATTTCCATATAAAGAAGATGTAATAGCTTGATGCATAACACTTTCACTATCTTTCTTTTGTTCAACGGCTTGTTTTTTTTTCAACATCAAATATTTTAATCGCATACACGCCTTTAGTGTATTACGAAGTAATCGAATAATATATTTCGCTTTTGTCCAACGTGATTGTTGTCGTTGTAATGGAAACATTTTCGTAGTAACAATTGGCAATGGAAAATTCTCTTTAATTTTTGCAATGAAAGAACTCTCTCTAATTGATATGAGTAATAATAATGCGTCATTTTTAATTTCTTTACAAAGTTCATGGCAATCACCACCTCGAGCTTTTGTCGTTGCAAAAATCGTTCGTACTTGATTAGCATATTCATAGAGTAAGAGAAGTTTAGCATGTGGTTTTTGTTCAATTCGTTGAGTTAATTCATGTTGAGCTAGATCAATACGACGATAATGTTTAATATAAACGGCGAATACTGCAGCACATGCATCATTAGCAACGGTTTCAATTGATTTTTGTAACACTTGCTTATCTCGAATGAATAATTTCATTTTTGATATTAATTGTGCACCTTGATCAATATTATGATAAATTGAAATTAAAAAATTATTGTCTAATATCGATTGTTGTCGTCGCAAGGGCAAAACAAATCGACTGTAAATAGTTAAGTCAGATTTGAATAAATTCGATAGATATGGATTTATATCTACTGTTAGAGTTTCATATCCACCAGAAAACAATGGTAATTTTAATGTTGTATCATATTTTTTCTCTAATGGACTCTGTGGTGGACCGATAATTAAACAATAGATCATCTTCCCTAATAACCACGAAATTAAATAATTCGTCTTATTGTCGACATTGATTTTTGTTTGTATGAAATATTCGGCAAATAAAGGCATGATAGCAGCAAAAATTGGTTGTATGACAGCAAAGTTAAATTTCGCGTCAGTGAGAGTACATAGACCAAGAAGAAGTGGTTCGAATAAAACACTTTGAATTTCTTGTTGAAGACAAGATTTTATTACATGTGTTGTATATTCTATGCCAAGCGTTGATAGAGCAGATGATTCAAGTTCATTCGAAACATCAACTGGTTGATTATTTAAGTAAACTAAAAGCAATTCTTGAAACATGATTATCATTTCGCTTAATCGATTAAGTTTTTTAATGTCTACGTAAGCTGATTTTAAGACAATATCAATGAATGAATGTAAGACTGTGTATGCTAATGCACTGTCTTGTGTATATGGATTATTACAAAGAATTTCAATCCATTTATATATGAATATTTGTTGATTTAATTTATTTAATAACTCATCGATTAATATTGGATGTCTGTTTTCAATGATATGCATATGAATGAATGTCAACATTTTACTAAACGATGATGCTTGTTTTTCGATCAAATAAGTCAATGCTTTCGAAGCTTCTGTTTTCCTCTCTTCTAATTCATCATCAAAAACTAATTTGGATATCAGTGCGAACCATTTTTCAATATCATGTTCGTTCAAAAATTCATAAAAATGATCGAAGTTTGCAGCCATTAGAAATTGTAAATGTGTTGTGAATAATCTTAAACACACATTCAAAATATATCCGAGATTCGCATCGGATGATGCTTGTACTAATGTTAAGTGTTCGATTATTTCATATAGATATTTAAATGTTTCTGATTCTAATTCAAATGAAAATGATCCATTCATAGAACTACGTTCAAATTGTGATTTTGCATGAAGTTGATTATGTAAATCAATATGAACAAGTAATATTGAACATATGAATTGACCAGTAAATTTATTTTCATTTAATGTAATCAATTGTGTATTTGGAAATGCTTCAATTGACTTAAGATATTCTACAGCAGCTAAAAACTTCTGTTCGATATCCAATGTTTGCTCAGTTGGCAATACTAATTCTAGGAGAAAATCGAATTTGACAGGTATAGAATCTCGAAAATATTATTGTTTTTACAACGGGTGATTCATTGAGATTGATTTACTAGTTTATTCGACGGTCTCGATTATCCGTCCGATAACATGGTGACTATTGCATGGCGGATCAATCGGTATACAGAGTACTGTGATAGACCGATTTTCAAACAGTATCACTTATACATAAAGTATGGGACTATAATGAATCTGCTGTCAGATCTGAGACAGCAAAAGAAACTCATGCTAAATCTTTTATGGTAGTTTGGGTATTTTTGCTTTTATAAATATTGAACAAAAGAAATATCAGTATTACATTATGAATTCTCTCGAACAACATTCACGTTCATTTTTATCGATATATTTCGCGAAATGTCGACTTCGCCGAGTTAAAATGAATTGTCGGTCGATCCTGAAACTGAACTAGTTGATCCTTTAAAAGAATCAGATTGTTCGAAAATTAATCTCAAAGAAGGACGATATATTGCTTGGAGTGTGAGCCCCTTCAACATCAATAATGGAAGCCACACATTATATATACAATATTCTGAGCATCATGTCATCCTGGTCAATACTATGATACCTAGAAACTAATGTTAAAAGAACAATTAGATCTTGCTAAAAGATCAATGAGTTCAGCTAGAATATAAATCGAAAATTACGATCTCATTTTCTGCATTTTTCAGTATATTATTGATTATCTTTTGTTCTGCTCGAGATCAATTTTTCTTACCGGTTCTGTTTTGATCTTGTGCTGTCACGCTGTTATCTGTAGTGTTCTGTGGAATAGTTGTTGTTACAGATGGTGTTTGTTTTTCTTTTTCGAATCGATCTATCGTCAACGTAAGACGTCTGTTCAATTTAACAAGTAATTTTCGTATATCAAAAATATCGTTCGTGTTGAAAATTAATTTTCTTATTAATGGTAGAATATCTTTGAATGATGCCTTGATAACAGAAAAATTAAATAAAATTTTGATTGATTGATTTGCTGCAATCGAATCTATATCACTGTGTATTGATAATTCCTGGATATAAATAGTTAATGGTTTTAAAGATTTAAATAAATTATGTGATCGCTTGTAAACATCAGATGAAATATATTGCAATGGAATTTGTTCAACAAGTTGATTTGTCACGTTAAGCATATGATGAACACTAGTGGAGTCAGATTTTCGCACTAATTCGAGTAACATCAATAACATAGTTATGAAAGATTGAACAGCAAAAAACGGTATTTCTTTTGCTTGTTGTTGATCTGATACATTTTCTGAATCAATCAACGTTTCAGAAAATATAGAAGTAGTTACATTTTCATCCTCTTTTAACTTTTCACCATAGGAATTTTTAAACTTTTCCTGTTTATTAATGATCGTTTGCATAGAATTTTGTAGATTGGTATTCGTCGTTGCAATATAATCGAACATTTTTTTAATTATTTTTGCAATTTTTGTATTAAATTCATTGACTCCACATAAATTCGTGAATTCAGATATATCATTTCGAATTTGTTTGATCCATGTTTCTTTTACAATTGATAGTTCACTTGAACATTGCTGATTATTAAACGAAATGAAATTTTTATTGGTTTCATTGATGATGTCGAATGGTAAAAATAAATGAATATCTTCTGTTTCATTAGTGGATGATACCTTATCCGAATGATGATTCTTCGTTGCAAATAAGTCAGGTATTTTCAAATCAGTTAAAGATACCTGTTGACCCATTATTATCAATTATGTTATTACAACTATTTTGCAGTATTGCTCACATAAATTCTAAAATTAAGCATCGTCTTAAATGGAAAGCACGTATTTTTTTTTCTATAAATATTGTATGTCTAGCAGACTCTATGAATGATGCCTTCGAAATTTACTTGACTTGGCTTATTTATACGTGTCTTTTCTTTGCCATTTCTTTTATTCAAATTAAAAAAAAATCATTTTTATTGAGAAATATTTCATTTTTTAGAATTCTATTTATTATTCTTATGGGTCAATCAAGTGAAATTTCAAAGATCTGAATCTTAGGAAACCATGAACTGCTTCGATATTTTAGCAATATGATGCGTCTTGAGAGTTTCCTGGAAATTCGATACAACACAATAGTAATACATATCGAGGTTGGGCGAGGGGAACAAGAGATGGATACAGGGACAGACGAGAGGGAGAGGTTGGGAAGGTAAAGAACATATTTAGTCCCATCAAAATGATATCCACTCTCTCTCCTAGGTTTGCGAAGTTACCGTTACCAGACAGTTACGTTCCCAGGTAATGGTAACGGAAAATGCAGTTTTTCCTATTTGATTTATGAACAGGATTCTGGAGAAAATAATGATTTTTTATAACGGTTACCGACAGCAAATCGGGATCCTAGCATCCAAATCTGGAATCAGATTTTCCAAATTTTGAAATCAGTTTTTTAGGTTAAGCAAAGTGTCTTGTACAAGGAGAAACACACTGATTTCTTGATTTCCATGATTTCTCTGATTTCTAGCAGCTACTCAGATTGGCTCGAACAAGACCATGGTTATTCTCTATTGTAAGGGCAAAACATATCGTTGCTTAGGTCAGATCAAGCAGACCCCCTTGATAACCTATGGATCCACCCGAACAACCCTATGCTTTACAAGTACCGTAAGAGACAAAGGCTTCTGATGAAATCTCATTGGCCCATAGAAAATGTTTTTCCAATCAATCATATTTCAGTAGGGTTTTTTTCTTCTATTGTTCCAGCAAAACATAGTGGTACTCCGGGCGATCCATAGGTTATCAAGGGCGCCCTTCCGTTTGACCCAAACAACCCAATGTTTTCTCCGTCAAATAAGGAAAAACCAATTCTCGCAATTTGATTGGTGGGGATGGGTGTCGGTGGGAATGCATTTCTACCCACGCTCACATCCTATTAGGGAATGAGGCAATAATGAGATAAGGCTATAAGAGGGTAAGCCTATACGAGAACAAGACTGAAAGGAGGTATAGAGCTATAAGGGGATATGGTTTAAGGGAATTAGGCTACAAAGAGGCAAGGCTGTCAAGGGGTCAGGTTATAAGGAGGTAAGGATATAAGGGGATAAGCCTATAATGGGAGAGTACCGTGAGGAGGTACGGCTATAAGGAAGCAGGGTTCAAGGGAATAAGGCCATAAGGACGTAAGGCTATAAGGCCGTACGGGCTATTAGAGATGTTAGGATATCAGACCGTAGGGCTTCTATGTACATAATGTCGAGTGTCTGTTACCGAGTGAAAGGTTTCAGGTCGTATGTTAAAGAAAAAAAAAGCTGCTGTGCAGTATGCACGGGTTCTCGCTAGTCTGTATATATTTATTGGTATAGGAGGCACCTACACCTTCTATACTTCTGATAACTCCTCCTTCCCCTGACGTTCTGCCCTTCCGCAACACCTAACAATTCCATCTTTATACCTCTATATCTATTGGCCTGGTGCTTAATGGAGTTTCCAGGAAACTCTCCAAAAGCATAAAATCTATTCATACTGCCATTCGTTATAAATTTCACCGACGAACCGAGGTTCGCTGGTAATTTTTNCAGGAAAAGGATATCAAAAGAAGAGACGATAATAGACACCATCAAGAAGAGGAAATTAAGACTATTCGGTCACATCTGCAGAATGGACGACAATAGGTTGATCAAACACACAATATTTGCCATAACGAACGGAAAATCCCGACGAGGACGTCCATGCAGAGAGTGGCTGGACGATATAACAGAGTGGTGTCAACGCAGTGGACAAGAATTGTTCCATCTTGCACAAAACCGACAGGCATAGAGGAATCTGATCTCGTAAATGATTGGCCCCAACGGGCGCAAAGCCTATGGGACATGATGATGATGATGATGATATTCAGAATCCGAGTATTATTCTGGTTAGTAACAATTAATTGTTCAATAAATCGATAAGTAATCAATCGAGTCATAGATCGTTGATATTGTCGTGTGAGACATTTAACAATTTCGTTGGATTCAATTTTCCATTTCCATATAAACAAGATGTAATAGCTCGATGCATAACACTTTCACTATCTTTCTTTTGTTCAACGGCTTGTTTTTTTTGCAACATCAAATATCTTAAACGCATACACGCGTTTAGTTTATTACGAAGTAATCGAATAATATATTTTGCTTTTGTCCAACGTGATTGTTGTCGTTGCAAGGGAAATACTTTCGTAGTGACAATTGGTAATGAAAAATTCTTTTTAATTTTTGCAATGAAAGAACTCTCCCTAATCGATACGAGTAATAATAATGCGTCATTTTTAATATTTTGACAAGGTTCATGACAATCACCACCTTGAGCTTTTGTCGTTGCAAAAATTGTTCGTACTTGATTGGCATATTCATAGAGTAAGAGAAGTTTAGCATGTGGTTTTTGTTCAATTGGTTGAGTTAATTCATGTTGAGCTAGATCAATACGACGATAATATTTAATATAAACGGCGAATACTGCAGCACAAGCATCGTTCGCAATGGGTTCAATTGATTTTTGCAAAGTATTTTGTTTCTCTCGAATAAATAATTTCATTTTTGATATCAATTGTGCACCTTGATCAATATTATGATAAATTGAAATTAAAAAATGATTGTCTAATATCGATTGTTGTCGTCGCAAGGGTAAACCAAATCGATTGTAAGTAGTTAAGTCAGATTTGAATAAATTCAATAGATATGGATTCATATCTGTTGTTAAAGTTTCATATCCACCAGAAAATAATGGTAATTTCAATATTGTATTATATTTTTTCTCTAATGGACTCTGTGGTGGACCAATAATTAAACGATAGCTCATTCTGCCTAATAGCCACGAAATTAAATAGTTTGTTTTCCGATCAACATCGATTTTTTTTTCTGTATTAAATATTCGGCAAATAAAGGCATGATAGTAGCAAAAATTGGTTGTATGATAGCAAAGTTAAATTTCGATTCCGTTAGAGTACATAGGCGAAGAAGAAGTGATTCAAATAAAGGACTTTGCATTTCTTGTTGAAGACAATCTTTGATTACATGTGTCGAATATTCTATACCAAGCGTTAACAGAGCGGATGATTCAAGTTCATCGGATATGTCACCCGATTGATTATTTAAGTAAATTAAAAGCAATTCTTGAAACATAATTATAATTTCGCGTAATCGTTTAACTTTTTCAATGTCTACGAAAGTCGCTTTTAAGACTATATCAATGAATGAATGTAAGACTTTGTGTGCTAATGCGCTGTCTTGTGTATGTTGATGATTACAAAGAATCTCAATCCATTTATATGTGAATACTTGTTGATTTAATTTATTTAATAACAGATCGATTAATATTGGATGTTTGTTTTCAATGATATGTGTATGAATTAATGTCAATATTTTACCAAACGATGATGCTTGTTTTTCGATCAAATAGGTCAATGCTTGTGAAGCTTCTCTTGTTCTCTCTTCTAATTTATCATCAAAAGCTAATTTGGATATCAATACGAACCATTTTTCAATATCATGTTCGCTCAAAAACTCATGAAAATTATCGAAATTTGCGCTTATTAAAAATTGTAAATGTGTTGCAAATAACCGTAAACAAACATTCAAAATATATTCGAGATTTGCATCGGATGATGCTTGTACTACTGTTAAGTATTCGATTATTTCATATAGATATTTAAATGTTTCTGATTCTAATTCAAATGAAAATGATCCATTCATAGAACCACGTTCAAATTGCGATCTTGCATGAAGTTGATTATGTAAATCAATATGAACAAGTACTATTGAACATATGAATTGACCAGTGAATTTCTTTTCGTTCAATGCAATCAATTGTGTATTTGGAAATGCTTCAATTGACTTAAGATATTCCACAGCAGTCACAACCTTCCGTTCAATATCCAATGTTTTCTCAGCTGGCAATACTACTTCAAGGAAAAAAAACGAATTCAAAAGGTAATGTAGAAAAATGATTT